GTCCACGCCTTCGCCCTACGTTGCCCCGGCGCCGACAGCGGTGGCCGGGGCGGCGGCGGCGGCGGCGGCGGCGGCGGCGGCAGCGGCAGCGGCAGCAGCAGCAGCAGCAACCGACGATGCAGCATCAGCTGGGTCTTGAGGCGGCTCGTGAGAGGAGCCCACATTGTGATCGGCGTGTTCCACGGTGTCAACCAATAAACGGGACGCTCCAGCCTCTCCATTCTCCTCGTCAGCTTCGTTACTGCACAGCCCAAACTCCTCTGGAGTGGGAAAGTTAAAGCGCGCCGCCGCCACCTCAGGGGTCCAAAACTTGTATGCGTCGAACCCTACCAAGCTCTGCGGTAGCTCCTCCTCGATAGCACGACGACGCTGCTTGTTTTGCGCCATGATATCTTCTACCCGCGTCCAAGCGGCCTCTAGCAGGCCCTCAAGCGCCTCGGATCTGCCCTGTTCCACGTCTGTGCAGCGCCGCAGCAGCGCCGCGGTTTCTGACGGGCTAAACGATTCTTTGAGGATTGCCTCAACCGCCTCCAACACCCTCTCGTTCGTGGCCGCATGATCACTGCTGCTAGCATGCGCCTCAGGCGAGCATGACGCAGCCGTGGGAGGAAGCAGCTGCTGAAAAAAATATACGCCGGCGCGTGTGGGCCTTGGTGCAGTCCGCTTCTTCATTCGTGTTTGATTCCACGTCTCTCTCCCTCCGTGCCCTCACTTGCTCAGTTTTGGCTGCGGGCTGGTATGCGTCACTGCCTCGTTCCTTCGTTCCTTCCTTCCTCTTGCAAAGAGCAGTGAAGCACAATAGAGAGGAGAAAAGGACAACGGTGGCACTACAAAGGAAGTGCGGACCGCCCACAGGTGGTGGTGCTGCGCTGCACCACCACCACACAAATGCAGACAACTCTTCGTGCCCCCTTTCTGGCCTGCAGCCGTCATGCTATCGCGGCCAAAGTCAAGCAGGCGAAGATAAAGAACAGAACGAGCAAACAGAACAAAAAGAGAGCGCGTACGCAAAGAAGTACATCAGTACAAGTATTATAGAAAGCGAAATATGAGCACGTGCTATGCTATCAAGCTGCACCCCCACCAACCCCACCCCACCCCACCCCCACAGCAACAATAGGAGAAAAGGTATCTTGCCTTGTGGGTTGTATTGCACTCATTTTATTAGTATTATGTATCCACCACTATCATGCATATTGATGGGCACATGTGTGTGCACGAATGCACTACCAAGCTGAAAAAGGTCAGTTCGGGTGTCCGGAAATAGTAAAAACCGGTAGTTATGTTTACACACGCCGCAATGACGTTTGTCACATGTCTCCTCCTTACTGAGGGAACATCTCTAGCGCGGTGATGTCGGTGGCCCACAGCAAACCACCCGGATAAACGCCGTCGCACAGCAGCGTCGACCAGACAAAGGGGCCAAAGAAGTCGTAGCTGTGTGTCGACTCCTCGTAGACGTAAAGGATCTCACGCGGTTGCCACGGTGCTGGCCCAGATGACCTGCTGGGGGACGCCGTGTGGGAAACATTCTTTAAAAAAGATGCTGAGCCCGTGTTCTCCCGTGTCGCACGCCGAATGACGGCCAAGATGTCTTGATACGACCCCGCCGAGGTGACACTTGCCAACTCCGTTTCATAATAGTCCGCGATGCAAAACAGCGGCAGCAACGCCTTGTGTGCGGCTGCAATATGTGGGCATGGGCTGTCCGCCGCCAACCTCGCCTCTAGATTTGCACGGCTGTACAAAAGCTCATACACGAGCGCGTCGTTCTGCCTATCCTCGCCTTGAATTATTGCCTCCACCACCTCTACCAAGGAGGTCAGCTGACGGAGAAACATTTGCGCCGTGGCATCTTCCTTGCTCCCCACCATGCTGTCTCTAGAAACGCTGTTTGTGGTGCAAGTAAGCTCATTCTCGTCTAGTTGGGGAGGCTCCACGCAACGTCGCAGCTTTCTAAGTATCAAATTAAGCAACCGTATCAACTGCTGGGAGGCATAGGTATCCATGTCGTGAATAAAGGGCGCCAAATTGGATAATGTAGGAATAAACACGGATGCCAACGGCTCATTCTGCTCGTTCATTGCCTTGGCAATGCCGTGGGCAAGAACCACAATACACAGGGAGCTAATCGGCATTTTGCCGCTACATCGTCCTGGCTTAAAACGAGGCTCAATAACTGTGTCGCTCATATTCCGGTTAAGCACTTGGTCTTGGGAAAAGAGCAGCATCAACGTGCTGGTCATAAACCCAATAAAGGGGTACGAAAAGTGTGTCATATCCTTCATCAGCTTGTCAATCGACTCCGGTGTCTGTCCTTCTCCGGAAATGTGAACCTGACAGACTTCAGAGGTAGTATTGGTGGGGTTCGTTGCCGCGGCAGTCCTAATACCAGCCACGCTCCCTTTCTCAGCCTCAGTTGACGCCATGTAGCTCAGATGCAGAACTTCTTGTACGACGTCCAAAACCTCCTTCGCGTAGAGCGTCAAGGTGGTGTGCGAGAAGGTGGGATGATCGTAGAAGAGAACGTACAACACAATACAGAGTGACGGGCATACCTGTAGCCGGTTAACCATGGCAGTCAAAAGCGCGTTAAATGGCACAGGTTCGCCATCCTCAATTTTCTTCACACACTCCAGGGCGGAATTTTCTTCACTGCCCTTTAGGTATGCCACAAGCACGGCCAGGAGTTGAGCGCAGTGTCGTCCCAAACTGTCACCGCAACTAATGGATTTGTCACCCTTTCTGCCGCCAAACACATTGTACATGTTTCGCAGCGATGGACGATGGCCGTCACGGTACAAAAAAGGGGAAGATGAAAGACGGCCGGAGCCCCACTCCACTAATCGCCTTAGTAGGATCAAGATAAATGCCGACAGTCCATCAGATGACATTACTATCTCTGTAAACATGTCCATGTGTGTTCCATCAAAGGCTGTGTTGTGGTAGAGCGCGGAGGAGGTCATAGACAATAGGAGGCTCACCACCTCGTTGTGGGCCTCCGCCGTCGCGTAGGCCACCGGCACGGAGACGCAATACTCCATCAGCGCACAGCAGAGTTTGTGTGCCTCTGTTGTGGCCCACTGCGCGGTCGTAAAGCTCTTTGCGTCACCTGACCCCTCCCCCATCACAATGTCCAACAGCAGTGTGACGTCCCCGCGGGAGACCTGGTGGGCGTAACGAATGACAAACTCCGTAATGTGCAGCACAGCAATGAACGCATCACTGTGACCCTGGTTGTAGTTGCACAAGGCGTGCTCGAGCTGTTGCAGGCAAAAGCGAAAAAGCCACCGCACCCGTTGCGTCTTTACACACATTGGTATTAACTCCCGTAGAACCGGCAGTGCTGCCCCGTAGTATTCCGCCCCCGAGCAGATCTCCTTCTTGTAGAGAAGCAGACGCTCGGTGAACTCCTTCTCATCCGGGTCTGCCTTGGCGCACGCAACTCCGGTGAAGTACCGCACCGCATCCTCCCTTGTCTGAGCCCCACCCATTTACATACAGATGCACTCTGAGAGAAGGTAAGGGAGGAGGGGGGGGAATAATTTAAAACAAATATATATATATACGGTGCAGCGGGTGCCTCGTACACGTCCCCCCTCGCCAGGTACACGCACAAGTCCACGCGCGGGCAATACCTGAAACCTACGGTTCTTCTTCTTTACTACTACTCGCAGGAATCTCCTGCGCGGGACACACGCACACACAACACATCAAGCAAAAATAAAAATAAAAAGAGGACGGAGCAAAGAATGGAGGAGGCAAAACCAACCACAAACACAATCACAAGGCATCAGAGCCAGCGCGCACACACTAGAGAAAGAGAAAGAAAGAGAAAGATAGAGAAAGCCCTCCAAGCCATTATCCTCTCGCCAAAAATAATAAATAAAGGTTCCGCAACTCGCTCCGTGTGCGCAATACTGGAGGTGGTGCGAGCACCGAATGCACCTCGTCGTACATAACTTGGAGCAACACAATTCATGCAGTCGGAGGCCATCCGTTCGCCTCAGACGCCTCGCTCTCGTTCTCGTCCCTGACTTTCATATATATCCTTTTTTCGGTTTTCTCCCGCGGCTTTCCCCGCCCCCTGTTGTGGAGACAGCGCACCCGCCCCCAACGAAAAACCCCAAACAAAGCCAAGTATAACCGCCCCTGAAGAGAACTCTCCCCCCTCCTCATCTCGCTTCACGTGCGCAAGCGCGTCCAGGAACAGCCTACTTAATTTTCCTCTTGCGTTGCAGGAGCTCTTCCCTGCGGCGCTCTGCCCGCTTCCGCAGCATCGCCCCACCCTCCGCGTTCTCCTCGGAGGAGGCTTGACGATGCCGTAGTAGTGGGCCAATGAGAACCCAGCCTTTGTACACGGCCATTGCGGGGACGGGGAGATACAAGAGAAAAAAGGCCCAGTGAAACAGACAGCACAGGAGCCCCACAACCCAGCACACCCACAGCAAGTCCTGTGCAAAGGAGTACACACCCAGTTCACTGGGGTTAGAAGCATCCGGACACTCCAGCAGTTCGCCCGTCAAGCTGTAACTAGGCTGCGCAAACTGCTTCAGTAAGGCGAGCGCCACAAACTCCTGCCCTGCCCAGAAGCCTAAGCCAATAACATCCCAAAACCATGGAAGCGAACCGCGGTAGTACATGATGAAGGCAAGCGAAAGCACATTTACAGCCCAGGTGCATATTGTGAAGGTGCGCATGCGTGCCTCGTTCCTCCGCATGTTCTTCTTCGCCGTATCCTTCGCCATGATTACGCACTCAGAATCTGGTCATGGCGCAGATATCGTGAGAAGGAAGAGACCAAGTACAACAGAGAAAGACAGAAGAATAATTTTTAATTTTTTTTAAGGTGAAAATGAGCAAAATAGTAATCATAATAAACAGCTGGGATGCACAGAATATATAAATCATCGTCACCGCACTCAGACACCCTCAACTTCGCCTCAGTCACATCACACACACACACATACTGTATCATGTTTCGGTGGTTGTTCTTGTTCTTCACTGCAATGCGTTTCCCCAATAAGGCTGGTTACCTCGGCATCTCACGCAGCCCCTGGCTTCCACCACCGTGCGTGCCGTAACCCTTTGACCGATGGTAGCGCTCACCAAACGGGTCCAGAAAGCCACTGAAGCAAATGACCGACACAGCCCCGACAGTTACCAACAAAAACCAACGTTGTAAACGCTCGGCAGCCTCTACAGCCTTAACATTCGTATTGCGAAGCTCCTCCGGCACGTGATTCCGGGACGGATTCTTGGGAAACTCGTAGTACATCGCTGCAGGGCCGTCGTCGCTCCTTCACCCTCCTTGCGAACTTTATCGTAGTACCCACGCCGCGGCATGCGCACAACCGTTGACACTCCTGCAAGCGAGGCCCACGCAATGAATCGGCGCTGCATCCTGCCTCCGGCTTTGCGGCTATCACCCTTTGCCTGCCTCTCTGTTCCCTTCCCTCGAACAGTTCTATGCCTTTGTCATGCCTGGTAGCACTGCAGCATGCAAGGAAAGAAGCACAAATATGCGCGCATACACACCCGTCTACGTGTGTGTATGTGGAAGTGAGGGGCAACAGAAACACAACAACCGCTGAAGCGGCGCAGTGTCCCTCTTCATAGTACCGATGTCTCGCCAAATGAAATTGGACACCTTCGATTGGGGCTTGATGCCCAACGAACTTCCCTTTTCCTCCAGGAGGGATGGATTTCACCCCACCCGCTTCATACAGCAGGCAAAGCAATATTGGTCTTTCTCGTAAGGACTCATGTGGCTAGTGTCCACAGCTTCTGCCCGTACCACAGCGAAGGAAAAGGAAGTGACGGTTCCACAATTGCCGCCACAGTTCACGTTGAGGTGTTCCAGGCGGTGCAAAGCCCCGTGAACGCTTAACATTCTTTGCGGGGAGCCGCCGCCCTGGCCTCCCTGTGGCTCTGCACTTTCTTTCCTTTCGCCTCCACGCTTCCGCTTCGGCTGTGAGAGTGTCGATAATAACAAAATGCACGGAGCACACGCATTGCTCTCCAGGTCCGATGCCTAGACACATCGGAAAAAGATGAAAGAAAAAGAGATATATACAGCTAGAAAAAGGAGACATATATATATATATATATAGCAGCAGCAAAAAGGTAATAAAACAGAGTCCATTATTTCCTTTTTTTTCAAGAAAAATAATTGGAGAAAAACACGTAAAAAACACCGAGACGAATTAAAACAAAGCAAAATACTTTTTTTTTAAAGTAAAAAAGCAATAGCACGTGTGAAGATGTACTCTGAACTTGTCATCTATATCCATTGCTTGTACAAGCCACTCACACCCTTGCACTCTCTCCCTCTCTCCCTCTCATGAACTCGTACTCGCTCTATATGTGGACTTCTATACTGACTCCAGGTACCGTACCCACCGCTTCAGTACCATGCTCAGGTGTCTATGCTTCGCTGCTGTCTAACTTTCGCGTGAGGTAGTTTGCCAGGAAGGAGAGTGGGTTTGTCGATGCCACCAAGTGCAACAAAGTCTCCCCCATGGATTTCATGTCTTCATCCACCATCGATTTAAGTCGAACCAGTGACTCTTCCTCCACAGACTCGGAGCGTTTGAGAGCTCCCGAGAGGTTTTCTCGCAGCCTGTCCACTTCACCCTTCAGCAACTCGCTTAGCGCCTGAATCTCCGTTAACTCTTGGTTAAGCGACTGCACGCATTCCGCGGCACGCGCCTTTACCTGGGCCTCAGACTGCCGCACAGCTATTAAATCTTCTCGCACAAAGGCCTCAAACTCGTCACGCTCGCGTGCATTCAGCCGACGCATTTTATCCACCTCCTCCTGCATGAAATCCACAGCGCGCTGAAGTTCAACCTGGCAATCTTGTCGCATTCGCGCCACCTTAAATGAAGCGGCCTCGTGCAACTGACGAAGCGCCTGCCCCTCCACCTCATTTGCCTCCTCGTTCTTATTCTTCACTTTAACAGGTGTTTGTCTTCCATTTGACGAGGAGAGTCGGGAGCAGATCCGTTGCTGCCGTATATTCACATCATCTTGATTGGGCAAAAGTTTCTCCGCGGCCTCGCGCATGACAGGAAGAGAAATAAAATGGTCATTCTCCTCCGAAACTAGCTCGGTGCCCTGTACTGAGACTGTTCTGGAATGAGAACCCTCAACTACGGCAGCTGGTGCTGCCAGAGTTGGCAACACTGCTTCATCTAGCTGCTGTCGAATACGACTGAACGGCACCCGACGTTTCCTCTCAGCAATCCACTCGTGAATCCCAGATGATCGTATAGCACTAAAAGTTGACTGCGTCAAGGAAATCATCAGCGGTTCTTTGTCATTCCCATGACTCATGACATGGGAGAGTCTTACAGGGATAACGTGCAGGCGAAGGCCAAGCTTCCGCTCCTTTGAAAGCTTTACTGAACGAATGTGTTCGTACGGAATAGTAATGTTATCCCCAGAGCACCCTGGAATCATAATGACGAGAATCAATGGGGAAAAGTATATGCTTGTGTAGCCACACACCTCCACACCGCCCGCCTCAATAAGAAGGGCCGTAAACTGCAGTCGTTCAAAGCTAGAGCATTCCATGTTATAGACGTCAAGCAAGGTTTGAATACTTGTTAAGAGATTGGCGTCATTGGGAAGCTCCGCCACACCCTTCTTGAAAAACTCAGGTAGCGTTGAAGTTGACAAAACTGTACGGTTGTGTGTGTAGAGCCTAAACAACATCTCAACGCATTGCATTTGAAAAAAGATATCGTTCGACTTTGTCAAGGCCTCGCCAATGTGACCACATTCTACACTCATCCGATTCTTGTTTGCCTTCGACCCGCGGATGAGCGTGATGAGCACACTCGCGCAGGCACGGCATTGACGGTAGTCGTCTTCACTTTCCACAGCAACGTGGAGAAAGGTCAAAAAACACGGCATCAGCACCACACCGAGAGGATCCTTCAGCGTCGCAGAGGCACAGAGTTGTTGAATGAGCTCAAAAAATGCATCCATATTGACCTTGCCACGGAATGTGTGCTGTTCCAGCCTCAACAGTGTGCCGCAGATGTCTGCCAAGAGGTCGATGCAACGGCCTTCTTCAACAGGCGCCAAAAGTGCCTGCGGGAGCTCCTGACACTCTGAAATAGCCGGTTGCAACAAGAGGTGAAGAAAGACGGAAAACGGGGGCACCAACGCGTACCTTGCGGCGTAGAGGAACTTGCGCAGGATTGTCTTCATCTCATGAAGGACAAGCGAAACATCCTCGTCAGCAATAATAGGAGGACATGATTGAACCTCATCTGTGGGCAAACGCAGCAGCGCCTCCACGGAGGCCATATTGTTAGCTCGCTTTAATAATAATAAGGCCGTTTCGTTTCTCCTCACTTTTTTGTTCGCCGTGTTGCTGCTACTGATGCGTCTCCTCGTTTAGCACCTCTGCCTCCCCACCAAAGCAATAGAATAATAAAAAAGGAAGAATACAGATTGATCTGGCTGGAAAAGCCCAAAGTCTTCTATGGATTCGCAACAGTGTTACCGTTGCAGAAGAACTAGTAGACCAATATAACAGATATATACGTTTCCTGTCCACATGTGCACATACTATTTCACTCATTAATTATTATTTTTTAAATAATAAATAAAAAGCATGAAATAAGGCATCCAGATGTGTTTGTTTTTTTTTTCGTTTTTTTTTCCCCCTCTTCCTTTTCAAATCATTACTCCCATTGGTATACTCCTCTGGCTGTTTTCACGGTTCATGACCACACACCCAGTCGTCGCTTTCAACGACCAGTAAAAATGGTGCTCCACGAGTTCCATAATAGTTGCTGTTAGCGTGTAAACAACAAATACAAACACCATCGATGGCAAAAAATCAAAAAACAGGTAAACCGACAGCATTGCCCTGGATATTCTTCCTGGCATTTTCCAATGAATAAGCATAAGACCTTGAAAATGAACTAAGCAACTAAACAACACGGGTGAGATGAGTTCGCCAAGCATAGAACTTGGATCTACAACGTAGCGATGAAGCACTGAAGTGAGAATGGTCAAAAACGTAATCATACAATAAGAAAATACACTAAGCGAAGTCGGTACATGGGCCTCACTCCATATGGTTGCAGCACAGAATAAAAAGGCGCCTCCCCCACTGAAGGGTGAGGCAGCGTCAGAACTTTCATCACTCACGCAATCCGTGCTTTTCGGTTGATCTGAGAGATTCCCCTTTGACGATGTCACCGAAAAATTAGATTCACTCTCCTTTTCCTTTACTGAAAACGAAGAAATGGGAAAAGTGGATGGTGTCGTGGAGACAGAGCTTGATTCAAGAGTATCTTGCTTCACTGAAGAATCCACATTTGATTTGTCTCTACCCTCAACCCATGTTACCCGTTCTTTTAAAGTTGGATCGTCTTGCTCAAGCCTCCGAAGTTCTATAGCAAGTGTTTCATCGGTTTTACCAAGTTTCTCTAAAGCCTGTGCCTGTCGCAACAATGTTCGATAGCGACGCCTGGCTCGTAGTTGCATAGGGTCACTCATATTACTTCCTGCAAAAAATTTGCAAAAAGTTTCCGAACACTAAAAGCCAAAAGAAGACAAAAGCGAAGAAAAAATCCATGAATTGACCCACAAATCCATTCAACAGAGACAAACGCCTTCTTTCCCACGTACGTGTATTTACCGGTTGAATTATTGCTTTATCGCCGTTACACTCTGATTTTCCATAGTTTGGAAAGTCAGTTCCGATACTTCTATTTTCCCTATTTATTAAAGCAAGTCGAATTTTTTTTTCATGCTTGGAAACAACCCTGGCTTTATATCCTACTTAAATCACGGCTTCCCAGTAATTGACAAGCATTACCGTTTTTTAAAAATGCTGTCTTTTTTTTTAGTTAAATTAGAAAACACCCCCCTGGTGGCCCAACCACATCTCGTCTAATTAGACGAAGAGCCTTCCCTTGTAATGGCGTAGCGCATAAGAGTTGCGCCTTGTACCGTACTGTTCGTGACATGACAAAGAAATAAGGGATAGTTGGCTGGTGTAACAGCAATAGCCCACCGAAGAAAAACTGCACTGTAGGCACAAAGTACAGTCGTCATTACGGGATCTATTTCACTTGCCTTTCTTGTCGGGAAATTCATGATGCCAGCAATAGGTATAAGCCAATTTGCAGCAGCTCCGGTATATCCAAGGTAACGCACAAATGTTACGGACACCATTTAAAACATAAGTATATCAACGCTTTTGGCTTTGTTTTAGTTGCTCGAGGAAGAGAAGGCAAAAAAAAAAAAAAGACAAGAGCATTGAAAAAAAAAAAAGGACCGTCCAAGTCATTTTATTATTATTATTATTATTACGGTTTTGAAGTGGGGTTAGAAACAGAATTTGCCCTCAATACATCCCGTGTTTCAGTCATTCAGTTGGAGTCACAAAGAATCTAATCATCACTGTCGTTTTTTTAGCAAGGCAGAATTTAACGACCGCAAAAGCGTGTCTATATCCTCCACCATAGGTGGTGGATAAAAGAATCCATCCTTACTAAAATACCTCCCATATGGAACCCCTCTGGAAACCGAATAATAAACTGATGAAGGAGCAAATAGACGAAAAGGTCCCACCAATTGAGTCTCAATATTTATCGTTGCTGAGTCAGGAACTTCATTGACACGAACACAGACTCGGCGCCCTCTCAACGCATGAAGATAATCCTTCCGTCGTGTGTCATTCCTATGAATGGAAGGTCCTGCAACCGTAAACACTATACGATCTGAATCATGTAAGGATCCATAAAAACAGGCAAATAAACAAAAAAGACCAGAAATTCCCATCAATGCGTATTTTGTCCGGGGGTATGACTCAAAAAACTCTCTCCCAAACATTAATGAACATGTGATCCCAACAGACACAAAAATAGATACGCATATTAATATCAACTTCCTTTTGTGTCCAATGTTTGCCTCAAATTCGTCCAGATGAAGTAAATAGTCGTGTATATTATTGACTATTGCATTTTTTGCAGTTCTGAGATCATTTACAGGAGAGTACTTGCGTACTGACTCGCTGTATAAATCATAGCCATAAACGTACTTTTTGTTAGCTTGCTTATTAGCCTGATCGGTGGATACCTCTTTCATTCTGTGTAACTTCAAATAGGAAAAAAAAGCAAAAGATAAACCGACTATTTGACTAATACAACCAATAAATAATAATAATAATAAATAAATAACTTGATCATGTTAAAAAAAAAAGAAGTAATAATAATAATAATAAGATATATATATATATTCTTATTATTATTATTATTATTATTATTATTATTATTTTCATTACCATCATCATCATATTCGCATCAGTAAAAACATATACACCTTCTATCGTGATGTAGCCAATTTCAAATCCATATTTCGAATATGAATACTGTGCGGCTCATTTGGAATACAACCAGATTTACCCATTGCCCAATCGTAGCTCCGAGCAAAGGCAAGTAAACTACCATCAGCACTAATGTCTCCAGCAGAAATGGACTTATTACGTTTTTCCAATCGTGTTTCACCTTCCCCATATCCACAACAAGACCGTTTTTTGTAGTCCCAATAACCAATTCTACCATCACCACCGCCAGTAACAATAAGAGGCATTCGGGGACTCATAACGCAAAAATTCGTTTGATACATATATAGTGCACTTTCTTCCACCAAGATATGAGCCTTGAACGTGGCAGCCCCCTCACCTTGAAGAGGGGCATATCCAAGTCTTCCCTCCGAACTTCCAACTGCAACACCGTCTTGCTGAGGAGAACATGCAACACATCTTAGATTAAACTTTATCATAGAGGGTGGTTCAAGCTCATTTGTCTTCATCATTGTTTGAAGGTTAAATAGATGAATTTTCCGCCCAGTCACACAAGCGGCCATAGGGAAAGTTCGCTGCGCATCTAAGCCAAATACAGGTTCACCCAAATTTTCCTCCTTTATAGGTACTGGTTGTCTCAAATCCCAAAAACGCAATCTTCCATCCCAACTACCAGTGATCAAAATTTCCGTACATGTATTCGAACTGACATGGGCTATACAGCTTACAGGAAGATCGTGAGATCCAACAGTTATTTTCTGGTCGGTTGTTAAATTCCACATTGTGGCCGTCTTACTACATCCACCCCAAAATACCCGTCCATCAGCTGAAAATGACATGTCCAAAATTGGTGCATCACTCATGGCAAACGTCATTGGCTGAGATCTTATATCCTTCACGCCTGGCTGCTGACTCACCTGCCATACACGACAAGTTTTGTCCCATGATGCCGCGCCAAGAAGAAGATAAGGACATCCAGAAGGCGAAAAACGTACGACACTCACGCAGTCGCCTGGAGGGCCCTCTACCTCATGTACAACATTCTGAGAATTGGAGTAATTAAACGTGTTCATAGTACAAGTCCTTTTCCCAAGATTCAATATATATATATATATATATATATTAAAAACAATGATAAAAAACAAAGAAAAAAAACTACTAGTGGACCAAAAAAAAAGCATAAATTCAAGAAAAATATGACATGTTGCCATCCCTACCAAAAAAAAACCATATATTAACGTATTAAAGCTTAAAAAGATATGCGCGAAAAAAAAAGATGCCCAGTACACTTCTTCTCTATGTCATTATGTTGTCTCATCTACTTTTTTTTCTTTTGAACTTATTTTCATATATTGTTCATTAATAATGGTAGGGTCATTTTCTTACACTGCCAAATGCCCTGAGGGAAACGATTTTCAAGAAACAACAAAAAAATCTTCGCTCTTGCAGCCATTCTGTGTCCACAAAGCCCGCTCCTCCTCAAGAGACAAGGTGTCACAAGAATGATTCCAATAATTATCAGGTGTAGATTGTGAAAAAAAAAAATTCAACAGCTCTGACACCTCAACCCGCGCAGCCTCAAGTTGCTCCGGATCATCTGGCGCATACTTCGTCAGCTCCAAAGGGGGATGCTCTGGAAATGCGTGCGTTCCCAATTCAAAAAGTTTTTTAAATACACAATTCGGATGGTCATGATTAATGGCAGTATACACACTAACTACAAAATTGTCATCACCACGAAGAAGCGAAATCCAGCAGTTGTTGAGGTAGCGAGAGAAAAAAACAACAAGTTGATCTTTATATAACTCAGGGTCCACAATACCCATACGAAACAAGGCCATAATGGTACCGCAGCATGCTTGAGTTAAAAAATCTACTGTGACTTCCTTACTTGTAGGCATTTTATCTTACATTCTTCAGAAATAGTCAATAAAAAGCAATATATATATATATATATATATATATAAGAGAGAGATAGAGAGAGCACGTGTATTTCCAAGAAAATATTCAACAAGACAAGGCCATTACATAAGGTTTCAAGGCGAAAAATGTTACAATAATTATTTTTCGAACACAACACTGCTTCCTCAGTCCACAACATAATATTGGCTTGATTCAACCTGTAATAATAATCATAATCATAATCATAATCATAAATATTATTATTGCATATTAATCCCATTTTTATATTCATAAGCACAGGATCAAAAAAAAATCAAAGTATGAAAATCAAGCAAGCAAAAACAATATTTTTAGTGCAAAATGCAAACACGTTTCACGGTACACACATCCTGCTTCAACTCAGTATTCATTGCAAGCCAAACTAATATACAGAAGAGAGAGATTATGAAAAAGAAAGGGGAAAGCCACATGGGTAATTAAATGAACTTTATAAGGCAAAATACAGAGTCTTTACCCACAGAAGCAAAGGGACACTTCAACATATTTATCAGACAATGCCAAAAATGGCAACTTCACTGTAGCATAATACACAACCCAAAAACCGCTCCCAGAAAACACAAGAAGAAAATATCCAATACCAGACCAGACCTCAATACTTCCTCAGAAAGGATATAAAGAGATACAACAGGCAAAAAAAAAGCAAAAAAACGCCATCAGTATTAAAATAAGAGATGCTAACGCATACCCAAAGTGATATTTCAGACCCAACAAGGAAGCTTCATACTCGGAAAGGAAAAGACAAGCCCCAGCAACGAAAACAGCACCCTTCAAGCATGAAAGCCCTTCAAAGCCAAGAAAATACCTGTTTGTGGCTAGCGCCGCGCACCCCCCAAAAGAATGCGCGGGTGCCACGACGCCACCGCCCCGCCCCAACAACAGTGAGAAGTTGCGCCGGCTGCCGGGCGATCTCCCACCCCCGCTTTTTCTCTCCAGCCCGCGTCTCCGGTCCCTTGCGTTGTTTCCGGCGGTGGCGTTTTGGTATTACACGATTTCTCCCATTGCTGGGGTTGTCTCTTTTATCGCGGTGGCGTTGCCCATTGCCTCTTCCCCCCCTTAAAGGAAGGAAGGTATTATATAATAAAGGAATGTCGAGTGTGATTAATAATTTTCTGAGGCGCTGCGCCGAGCTATGCGCTTCTCGGAAGCCGTTTGTTCTTGTCCTTGGCAACGAAGGGGGCGACATGGATAGCATTATCGGCTCAATTTATTTGGCGTTTTATCTGCAAAACCATTCTGATTTGGGTGGTGGAAACTATGCTCCTGCGTTGAACTTTGAAAAGGAGGATCTTCCGTTGCGTAGAGATGTTGTACAGCTGCTATTGAAGTATGGAATAGTAACAGAGTGTTTGCTTTCAGCTAAAGGAACACCGGGCACTGCAGACTTTGTGGATCTGCAAGCGATCCAACTGGATGTTGTTTTATATGATCATAATAAGCTTATTCCCGAACAGAATTTTTTGAGGAATAGTGTGGTTGGCGTCATAGATCACCATTTTGATGAAAAACTCTATTTGGATAAGTCCAGCCACTTTCGAAGAATAGAAACTGTGGGTTCAGCTTGCACTCTTGTGGCCGACCTTTTTCGTGCGGCGGGGCTAACAATTCCATGCCCGGAGCTTCTTTTAGCTCCTATTCTACTGGACACTGTAAACCTTAATCCCGCTCAAAAAAAAGTTACAGAAAAGGATATTGATCTATCTCAATGGCTTCTAAAGCAAGCTTCTGAACCCATTGATCTTACGAATATGTTTTTGGAGCTCACAGCATGGAAACACGATATACTTGGTCTGACCTTCCCTCAACATTTTCGCCGAGACTACAAGATGTTTGAGTGTTCATTTAAGAGATATACGGAGAAATCCCTGAAAATAGGGATTAGCAGTATTTCATGTCGATTTGATCAGTTGCTTGGTTCACATGGAATGCCGGAACTTGCTTCCAGCTGTCTTGAATTCTTGACCTCAAAAAATCTGGATGCATTTCTTTTGGCTTTTGCCGGAGAAAGGGGATCAGGAAATTACTGTCGCCAGTTGGCATTTATTGCAAAGGGAACTATTTGTGAAGCACTGAAAGAGTTTGCGGACCGTTCACCCGAGGGTGTTGTTTTTACCCCTATAGATAGCATGGAGCAGAATAAATGGGAACTGATATGTTATGAATTGAGTGATCCGTCTGTTTCGCGCAAGCGTCTTGCACCGTCACTTCTGATGTTTCTTACCTCTTGGCAAAAGCTGTAAACGTTTTTTTCAGGAGAAGGTAATTAACAAAAAAAAATCGGAGATAGAGAGGAGGGGGTTAAAAATGTGTTAGTGAGACTTATGTGGAGCACTGGTAAATGGAATTACTTAACCAATATATGTTGTAACTTTTTGGTTATTGTGATGTGTTGTTTGACTTTTGAGCTTGTTGTTCTGCCTTTCCCACCATGAGCATCTATTTACCTACTCATCTACTCTATTTACTTATAGTAAAAGGAAATATGCTATGAACTTTTTTTTTCATCTGAAAGCATGGACATTCTGGTTTGATATCCGAGACAGCACAATGGATATATTGAGTGCAAAATATGCCCAAGGATAGCCACAAGTACAAATGGATTTACTGGCACCACCTATCGTAGATTTAGTAAGATTTATTTGGTTTTTTAAAGGATTTGGGAGCTTGATCATGATGTTAATGTGGCAACTCTGCCTCAAAAGAAGAAAAGAAAAATGTTTGGAGTCATATGTCCCATTTTTTTGTTTAAGATGACGTCGAAGAGAGCGAGAAACATTTTTTAAAAGCAGTGTGTAAAAACAAGCATTTGCTAAGTGAAATAGCCTTGCTTTCGATTTTGTTTTTCGGATGCAAAAGCGGAATTAGCGCAGAAGAGTGAAGAAGAACACGTGGTAGCTAGTGGCAATATTGGATGTTTATTGACGTGGATATTGGGCAATCTACCTATGTTGGATACAGAAAAATGTCTTCTGGCCACACAGCAGTTTCTTCGATCGACAAGGTATACATTGAGTTGTACCTTGTTTCCGGTCTGATTTTGGGGATCCAATACGTTTTTATGGACTTGCAAAAGTTATTAACGATTGGTATCTTTTAGGTGTAGCTCCTATCCACCCCGGATGAGGTTTGTATTTTAAAAATACAAGCTGTTGTCCGCTTTTGTAGCTTGCTTTTACGCTTCTTATTACCCGTGTTCACACCAGTTGAGATTCATGCCGATGGGGTTCGCACTTACCTCATATGTAAGGTTTTCAAGGGTGACTGCATCCGTGACTGTATGTATAATGCCAATTAAAGTATTGAGGCTAAACAAAAGTTCAGAAGAAATGTCAATGCCTTTTATGTTTATTACATTGCACATGTTGGGGAAACAGCACTATTAATGGTGAAATCATGTCATTTTTTTTTCTCAGATGTCGTGTTTTTAAAGACCTGGGTAAATTTTTTGATGATTCAAATCAAATATTATTTTTGGGTTTGGGGGATATACTTTTTGGATATTACGCGATATACGGGTGTTTTGCCTAGGGCTAAACACACAAATGCAGATGTTTTAATTGTAGGAATTATTACCTTGAACTTGGCTTCAGGGAGCCCCTGCTGAATGAAAACTGATGGGATTTGTCATGGCTTATACATACTTCTCCCCATATATGTCCTTGAAATGGACAGGGGGTCTGGTTTAAAACTTATAAGTTATTGGGAATTTTTCCTTAATTTGTTCCTCAGGGTTTAGTACCGTTTTTTGAAAGCAGCATTTGATCGTACCTGTAAAGTTGCAACTAACGTACTACTTCAGCATCTCTTCATTACACAGAGGCATGCTAAGACATCTTGGATGCAGGTTGGAAAAACAAGGGGTTCACCTTCATCGGTTTAGTTTAAACTTAAGGAGCTGGAGTTTTTTTTCTTTTTTGTGAGGTTGCCGGTAAATGGCGTACAGCTGTGAACATGGGCAGTATTCGTTTTGGATGTGAGAAACAAAGTCGTTCTCTTCTTCAAGAAACATGAAGGAAGAAAAGTAATGAGCATGTTACACAAGCTACAAAACAATCCCAGAAGAAATAGGCCTTTTGTTCCTGTCTTGTCTTTTCTTTTTTATTATTATTGTTTCTTTTTTGCCTAGAGAGTCTCAGTGTAGCCTACTTGCAATCTACAAATAGGTTGGAAAGGGTCGTGAAAAATGGCACGCGGTAACCAGCGAGACCTTGCTCGTGAAAAGAACACAAAAAAACAACAAGAAAGGCAAAAAGGACATCGCTCAGACGGGATGTCTGTCGTCCAACGAAAGGAAGCTGATGCAGAGCGAATGCGCAAAAAGCAGGCGGAGGCCGAAACGAAACAATCTGGCGGTTCATGATGTAATTGCGCACACCTCGTATCAGGTTTTTGTTTGTTTGTTTTATAAGCCAAACTACGGGAAACAAAAAATATGGATTATTTGAGAAAATATTTTAAAAGGAAAAGTACAGTAGTTGCTTTCCGTATCCTTCAAAACACGGAAACGACCTTCCCTGGTGGCTTGGTATTATTGTTATTATTATCATTATTATCATTATGCTTGTTGTTGTTGTTTGTATAGACAGTAAACAAAAAAGAAATACTCTTTTATGGTTGAATTTAATTTCATTTATTTATTGTCATATTTTTCTAACTTCTAAATTTATTATTATTATTATCATCATTATTGGCTCTGTGTGGGTGGGTGTGGCTGTTATCAAGTGTTAGTATAGTAGAAAGCTGCACGGGAGAGCAACTGGAGATGTCATTCTACGACAAGTCTAGTTCTGTAGGCTATGATGAGCGAGATAAGGAGGTGAATGAAGAATTGGAGGCTATGCTGGCGCGTACTCCACCTCACATTCAGAGGCATCTTCAACAACGTATTCACGACGGCATACTACAACGCATGAAAGAGGAAACAACAAGGAAGTGTTGGGATTTTTTAAAAAAGTATGAAACATGCATGAATTCAGTTAAACCTTATAAGATAAAGGATTGTATTCCTCACCGGGATGCTTTAAATGATTGCGCTCACGAGATTAATCGTGAGGATAACTATCAGAAGTATCGTGTCTTATATCTGCATGGTGAACTCCTTAAACTTCATGAGCACCGTCTAGGTGAGAGGATGGAGGCATTTAAGGTCCGTGTTCCTGATTCAATTAGAGCTTGGAAGCCAGATTATGCTCCAAAGTACGCTGACATGATGTCGGACGTGGGTGTAAAGCCTTCTGTGGAGATAGAGAAGGATGTAGAAGATGTTTGAAGCAGTGTAATGGTTGGGTCTTTTGTTGTCAAATGCATCAACATTTTTGTTTTTAAAAAATATTCATGAATCTATTGAGTGCACAGGTCTAAGTTACACGCGTCAATACTTTTTTTTTTGTCGTTGGTGTTTTATGCTGCGGCGTAATAGATCCCTACATGCTACGTGTCGTTTCTTGGCGTCTTGCTTGGAGGCCTGCAGCCATTCAGCACCTGCCCAATTTTGGGTCAAAGGAAGCTCCCAAAAAGGTAGAAGATACTCAACGACAATATCGTCCTCTCTCTCTTAAGGCCCGTCAGGCGCTGGCAGAGAAGTCAGATGAACTGCAGTATCATGTGATTACACAGGACTGGTTTGGTCAGCGCGTTGATACTTTTCTTACCCAGCACCATCCTGAATGGAGTTATGAAACCATGAAAAGTCTGGTTCAGCAGGGTCATATATACCGCTATAGAAAAAATGGAAAGAAAAGATACACACGATTAACAGATCGGCTGGAGTTTGACGAACTACTTGTGGTGCCAACTCCAGCGTTTTGGGAAAAGCAGCTTGCTCCTCCTAGTGGTGTGCTCAAGGAGACTACAAGGCAACCACAATTTAGATTGTCGTCTCATGTGCGGGAAATGGCACATAATATGGTGCTCTTCAAAAATGAGCATGTCATTGTTATTAACAAACCTCATGGTGTCCCTATGATGCCGACGAGTGACGCACAGGAGATGAATATAACTGCTATGCTTCCTGCCTGGAAATACACAAATACGGTGAAACCCATTGTTTGCCACAACTTGGATAAGGAAACAAGTGGTTGTGTTGTTTTAGCAAGAACCAAAAATGCACATCGCATGTTAGCACGTATGTTCGTGAAACGTGTGGTGCCAAACAGTGTGTATTGGGGATTTTGTGTAGGTAAGCCCACCGTGAACTTTGGACGGATACGCATGCACTTTGAGATGACGAAAGGAACTAAGGGCGATATCATTGTTGCGCGTCCTTCTCCTACCAAAACTTCTAAAGTGGGTATTGCCGAATTTGTAGTTAACGCCAGTGCATTGGAATTCGGAAGCTTCATCTCATTTTACCCCTTAACAACGCGTCGTCACCAGGAGCGGATTATGGCAGCGCATGCACTGCGTTGTCCGTTATTGGGTGACGCCAAATACGGCGGGGAGTCAGCGTTCCCCTCATCTATGTCTCTCTTCTGGGATCCAGAGGATAAAGGGCTGCCGTTACACTTACACCACCGAAAGATTCAGCTGCCATACAAAAATGGCGTGGGGGAGTTTGTCTGCGTTACGGCTCCTCTTCCACCTCATATGGAAAAGACGTTTAAGAAGCTTGGGTGGCCATGTGAGGTGGATGATCCGCTCATACCAGGTTGAGCCCAACGAGTTGTTGTTTGTTTGTTTTTGCTTGTTCGTGTGCATTTTCGTTTTTTCCCTTGCCGTAATTATTGGTCTATACTACGCTTAGCACAACACATACAAGAGAAATTGGGGGGACGTATGCGTACACAAGCGCAGGGAAGAGAGCGAAAGTGAGATGGTGAGTTGGTATTTACGTTGGCGTGCCTATGTAGGGAGGTGATGGAAGTGGATTTGTTGGAAAATACAAAAGAGGGTTTTCCTTCCACGTTATTGAGAGAATTATTATTATTATTATTATTATTATTTTGTAAAGTCGTGTTTTTTCTCCCTCTACGCACCGTGCTCAGAATTCCGGTTGAAAATCAACACGAAGAACCATACAGCTTGGACAGCGAATAGATGTGCAAGTTTGTCCGTGTGCCATCTCGTTTTTATCAACTCGCCACAGGGGACGAAATAACTATAAAGCATGCCGTCGAGCGTGGCACATACATGAGGGAGCGGAGTAAGGTCCGGAAACGAATTCTGGCCAGTGACGCACACCTTTTTCCAGGGGTTCTTGAAGTGGTCAATGACCCCGCGTCTTCTGTTATTTTTCTTGCTGTTAAAGAGGACGCAAACGCCGAACATGGATTTTTGGGTTTTGTGGTTGTCAACACAAGCTTTATCGTGCAACAACGGATTGTTGTGATTGCGTGGATCTCCGTTCTTAGCCGCTTTCGAGGAATCCACGTGGGGCGTTCCTTACTTCAACACGTGGAGGTTTTTTGCCGCGTCAACGGTGTGGAGCTTATGGAGGTGATGTGCACTGATGGTTACACGAAATTGTTTAGGCGGCATGGCTTTTTCACCTCCGTGAGCCCCTTTGCCTTTAAGAAAAAGGCCTTGCAAAAGCGGGTCGTCGTGCCCTCTTTGCCACGGGTGCCTTTTTGCGTCAGCAGTGGTGTTGTGTGTATACGCTATGCCAGGCAGGAAACCAGAAGGAAGTGGGTTTTCCTGGCTTTGGAGGCTTGTGGGTACAGTCTTGGAGGGGGGGATTTGATCCGTCGCATTTTTGACGCAGAATTTCGCATTGAGGCGGTGGATGCAAAAGAGGATCGCGTGGTGGCGATCTTGTCAATGGACAGGCAAGGATGGATTCCCCTTATCGCGTGTGTGACCGAGTACCGGGGGCGAGGACTGGGATCGTTTTTACTTTTTATGGCGATGGAGTGGATGCGGCGGGAGGGCGGCAGCTCTGTTTCTTTGGCCCCCTTGAACAGCAGCGTCGTTCACTTCTACAAGCGTTGGGCCTTCCAAGCGTCCTCCGTGGGCGGTAAGAAGCGACGTCGCGGCTCGCGCGACTCCATGGTACTTGTACGAGCCATTGATCTCAACGCGCATTATATTCCGGACGGACACTCCCTAGAAGACTTCCTCTCTGTCTCAACACCCGAAACTCCCGCGGCGGCGCAACAGTCAGAAGGTGAGGCGGCGGCGGCAGATAGTTCTCCCAATCTCATTGCATAACGCATCTGCCTTAGCCCCTGCTCTACCTGCAATGCATTGGTGGATAGCTGAGCCTTGTGCGTCTATTGGTGCATGCTACTGATGCTGTTTTTGTTCTTGTTGTTCACCTTCACTGTTTTTTTTTTCCTTGTATTATTTTTTATTTTATTTAATTTTTTATTTGCGGCTCTGCAGGGTCTAACGAGAAGGGAACGTAAAAAGGGAAGACGGGGGTGGAAGAGGATAAAGGACTTACGCATCTTACTTTCATTTTGTTTGTTTAGATTTTTCTCGTTGGGCGGGGCCTCCAGTCCACGACGCGGCGTGTGGAAAGGGGAAGGCTACGCTGAGGATGCCGGTGGTGGAGGTGTACAGCGTGGAGCAATTCCGAGACCTTGTGAATGAGGACCTCCTTACAGTGGCCTGGTTTACGGCGTTGTGGTGCGGCCCCTGCAAGACCATAGAGCGTTCCATGGAGAAGATGACATTTGAATTTCCGACGGTGCGGTTTGCAAAGGTGGACGCTGACAACAACTCCGAGATTGTATCGAAGTGCAAGGTGCTGCAGCTTCCTACGTTTATGCTGGTGCGTCAGGGCAAGCTACTTGGGCACGTTATTGGGGCAAACCTGGACATGCTGAAGCGGAAGATTCGGGAAAGCATGGGCAATACGTGAAACACCGTGCCAGCGAGGAAGGGAGTGGGTGAGAATGTTCCCGTACGTGTGTGTGTGTGTGTGCGTATGGTCCGACGAAACGAGTTGTGCGGCATGTGCGCTAAGGCCACACAATGGGAAGCATGAAAGGAGAAGAGGTGAGATTTTGTGGGATGCATGGCTCCTCTCCGAAAGAAAAAAAAAAGGAAGGGGCGTGCAGTTTGACCAAAATGGATTTGGCGCTGTTGCTGCTACTATTCTTTGTCTCTCCAACCACCACCTCGCTCTCTGATTGTGCGTGTGTGTAGATCAGGGAATGGATGATGTGCCGCGTCGAGTGTTTGCTCTCTTTCACCTTTTTGTCATTTTCCTCGAAGCGACAAGAGGTGTTGTACCTTCTTTTTCCTGTATTTATTGTTGTTTTCTTTTGCTCATGCTACGGTCTTGCTTTTCATCCGAATGTTCCTATTGTTTGCGTCCCCCATGGGAGAAGGTACCGGAAGTGGAAGAGACAGCTCCAGAGGACAAAGTCCTGTGCGTGCGTAGGTGAGACCCCCGGCACCGACACACACAGAGGGAGGAGTGTGAGACAGACGGAGTTTTGCTGGCATCCTGTATGTCAGGTAATGCAGCCCGGCAGAATTACCTGCATATCAGGGAGCAGCAAGAGCTGAACCGCGAGCGGGCGCGGGAGGCGGCCGAAGAGGAAAGGCGGACGCAGGAATTCCTTCAGCGTCATAAGGAGCAGTACAACCACGTCCCATCGCACGGCTACGGCCATCTGAGGGGCGGGAACGATGACGTGGAGATTAAAGTATTTATCCGAGAGTGTGACAGGGACCGGGCGCAGACATTCTGCTTCATGGAGAAGGATGTGTTGCAGCGGCGGGGCAACAGCGAGACAAAGCCCCCGCCGCAGCCGGTGCAGGGTCTTCCTCGGTTCCCGGCGCAGCCAAAGCGGCAACAGCCTGTGCCGGTCTCCCCGGCGAATGTTTCACGGGGTGTGGTGCCGAAGTATATCCTTCAACGCAAGGCGGAGCTGGCGGCGGAGAAGGTGACGGTACTGCGGGAGATAGAGCGGCAGAAGGAGATCGCCAAGTACCCGCCAGGCCACCGCCCTGTCACAGAGGAGGAGCGCAAGGATACCCTCGAAAAGCTTGCAACCCGACGGAAGGAGCTGGAAGTCGAGCTGCATAAGATCCCCATCCGCTACGACACACAGTCGATCAAGGCGCGGAGGAACAAAATTGAGGGTGAACTCAAAGAGATCGACGAGGCTGAACGTAAGTTCAGCGCCGCGAAGCAGCTGTTTGTGCCCATCTAGGAAACCGGTAAGGCCCGCGACGCATAGAGAAATGGAGTAGACGTGCACCAGTGAGTGCAAGTGAACAGGCAATTACGAAGAAGAAAAGGGGGAAAAAGGAATACGAAAAGATGGAAAATAAGCAATGACGCGGAGTTGTTGTTGTTGTTATTGTTGTTTTTTCCTTCTTTATGTTCATTATTTTTTGCTCCTGGCGGTTGTGTGCTTTTTAACGTCGCATGTGTGCGCCACCGCGAAGGGAGTTGCATCTGCGGTTACTTTTGTTGCCCATCCTGCGCATTTATTGCCCGCTCGCCCTCTCACCCTATCACGGCATTCCCCGCCGCGGTCGTGCGAAACACCAGTGGAAGAGGTAAGCGTAAGGTCTGTGGCACGCCGCCGCATGCATTGTGCGTTCGCACGAGTTGTCGCATGAACTACCGAGAGAGACTCGTTGCCTTCTACCAAAGGCACAACCCTGCGAAGTTGGGCGAGGTGGACGCGCTCCTGGAAACCTTTGCGGGAAGGGAGGAGTCGATGTTTACCGCGTTGCAGGTGAAATATGAGGAGATGGCTGCCAAAAACGGTGGTGGCGCGGTGTCTACCGTGCGGAGCGTGACCGCTGAACCGGACACTTCCGCAACGGAGACAAGCGCCGTGCACGCTGAGATGCAGGAGCTGCTGCAGAACATGGAGTCGGTTGACTTAACCCGACTGTTAAGTCAGTTGAAGGGGTGCGTTAACGTGGAGAGCGATCTCCTGGCCCATGTGATTACCTTCATGCAACACTTCACCAGCTGCGCACATCGTTTTCAGGAGTTGAGTGGGACAATGCTGCGGATGCTGCGGGCGACAGCTGAAACGCCAGGGCATGCAGTCCCCGTAGAGAGCATTGCTGCACGGGAAGGTGTGGCAACTCAAACAGAAACCACCTCTCCTGAGAGGCGGGAGGCGGGGAGGATGGCGACGGTGTCTGTTGAAACGCAAGCAGACACAGATGGTAAAAAAAGCGGCGGTCTACCTTCCGATGCAGTAAGCCCCACAAGCGCCTCGGAGCTAACACAGGTGCAAACGCCACCGATAGACCACGTCAACTCCGGGAGTCTTCCTGCCGACACGCAGGCGGCGGTGGCGTCCGCAGCGTTGGACATAGATGATAAACTGAACAGGCATCGTGCAATTGGCAAGGTGCATAGGTTGAAGCCGGTGAAGCACAAGAAGATAGCAGTTATTGGGGCACTCCTGGCAGCCGCGGGGCTGGCCGACACCGACTCCATCACCTTGGAACCAGGCGTGTACCATGAGAATATGTGCTTTGTGAACAGTGGCGCGGTGGAGGTGGTTGCCGTGTTTCCTGGTACGCCGGTAATCATTAAACCACTGAGTAGTCTTGAGCCTATCATCCGGGCGGAGGGCGGCAAGACGCGGCTTCGGATGAGTGGCGTGGTGTTGATGGAGCACGACCCCGCAGGAGGAGGAGTACCCGCCGATTCGCCTGCGCCATCCAATCCGCTGGTTGCCGTCGCAGATGGCGCGCATGTGGACTTGCATGGCTGCCACCTCTACCAGGGAAGCTGCGCCGTGGAGGCAACAGGGCCGTGGACCGAAGTCCGTCTGCATCTTTCGCTAATTGCCTCCTGCACGTTTGCCGGTGTTTTCCTGCGTCATGGCGCAAAAGCGGTTATGACGCAGTGCAAAGTTAAACTTTGCGAGGCCGGGGTCCGGGTAGCGAGTAATTCCTCCATTCATGCAAGTGAGACGGTGATGGAGGGGAACACCACAGATGGCGTTGTTGCGTACGAATGTGCAGAAGGGACGTTGGAGCGCTCTAGTGTGCTGCGCAACGGTGGAAACGGGTTATTTCTTTCCTCCGGCGCCACTTTCATGGTGGCTGAATCGACTGTCGAGTTGAACGGTCTCTACGGCATTCAGCGCCTACAAGGATCTCGGCTGCACCTGCGAGACAGTGTCGTGCGCGATAATGCACTGCTTCCCATCAATGATACCGATGAGACAGTGAACCCGTGAGCGGCTTTGCATCTTAGCCTGGGGGGTTGAGAGACAAGCCAGGTGGTAAGCGAGGCGTGCTTGCTTAGGTCTTCAATACTATTTTCTCGTGTGTGTATTTTGTGGTGTGTTGGGTCTCGCTGTTGAACTGCATCAGTAGAGCAACTGCCACTTTGGCAGCGAAGAGGATGAGCGGGGGTGACTGTTGTGTGGAGGCATTCTTTTTTTTCCTTTCCACTTTATCTCTCTCTCTCTCTCTCTATAACCTGCGCACAATGCGTTGAAGGGCTGGACAATGAACGATGAGGAGCTGGAGGAGCTCTTCTCCATCAGTCAGTACGCCACCACCACCACCACCAGCAACACCGCAGCGACCTCCACAGCAAAGCTGCATAATAACGATTCGGTCAACACAGTCCAGAGTGATGGCAGCCGCAAAAGACCAGCTTCTTCCGTGGTCTCATCCCTCCCTGTCACGTTGCCTATACCACCTGATATTGAATCAAAGCTCTTTGACTACCAGAAGGAAGGAATTAGTTGGCTGTATGAAAGGCATCGAAAGGGCCGTGGTTGTCTTCTCGCGGATGAAATGGGGCTTGGAAAGACTGTGCAAATTGCCACCTTTCTTGGCGCGCTGTACATGAGCAAGCTGGCCACAAGCGCCATTATAATCCTGCCGCCCACGTTATTGCCCTTATGGGAGTCGGCACTTCAACAGTGGGGACGCCTGGGACCACCCGTTGTGGAGGTGATTCACAGCGATGCCAAGGTCAAGCGGCTTCAGCGGTGGCAACGGCTGAAGCACGGTACTACATGCCTTTTTCTTACAACCTACGGGGTGCTACGGCAGGACAGCAACTCCATGGGGGCGCGCATGGTCGACTACGTGATTATGGACGAGGCGCACCTGATTAAGGACGCCTCCACGCAGGTGTTTCGGAGTGCCATGGCTTTGTCGGCGCGTCATCGCATCGCCATTACGGGAACACCGTTAATGAACAACTTTGAGGACCTCTGGAGTATCTTTCAATTCATTGACGGCTCTATTTTTGGGACCACGCGGGCCGACTTTCGCGCCATTAACGGCGTGCTATTGCGCGGCAACGAACGCGATGCGCTTGAGAAGGAGCGGGGAGACGCGGGAAGGCAGCTGGCGCTCATCCAGGCGGCCATACGCCCCTTCATGCTTCGCCGCGATAAACGCGAGGTGCGGATGCTGCCTGTTGGAAAGCGGGACCTTATTGTTTGGCTGTGCCTCAATGAAACGCAGGAGCGGCAGTATGTCGCGTATGTCGACAGTGAAGGCGTGGACGTGACTCTTCGAAATACTGACGCTGCAGAGCCGCTTGTTCTTCTCACGGCGCTGATGCGGACATGCGACCATCCGTGGCTCAATCTTAGCGATGAGGTGTATCGAGAAGCCATGCGGCATCCACTGGCGTGCCCCGAGGCAAACACCAACTGCGGTGATGCACTCAATAGTGCAAAGATTGCCGCAGCCCTTGCGTTGGTTGTGAAGTGCATTGGAGAGCAGCGCAAGACCCTAGTTTTCTCGCGATCCAAGCGTCTGTTAGACCTTCTAGCCGTTGCGCTACGCTGCTGGTGGATTGACTTTGCGCGACTGGACGGCGATGTGCCGGCGGGGGATCGGATGAGCACCGTCCAGGCGTTCAATGAGACTGCACGGGTGTGGGTGTGTCTGCTAACCACGCAGGTTGGCGGCGTTGGTCTTACGGTCGAGGCTGCTTCCGCCGTCATCTTGATGGACCCAAGCTGGAACCCGTCCTCGGACGCGCAGGCAATTGACCGCGTCCACCGCATCGGCCAGATACGCGAGGTGGTCGTCTACCGCCTTATCACCTGCGGTACTGTGGAGGAGAAGGTGTACCGCAACCAGATCTTCAAGGTAATGGCGGCAAAGCAAAGCACCTCCGTAGGCGCGCAAGCAGACCAGGAGGGAGGAGCGGAGTTCTACCGCTATTTTACCCGCCTGCAGCTACGCAGTATGTTTGATGTGGGCACGCTGAACTGCAGCGAGACCGCGGCACAGTTAGACGCCCTGCACCCCAACGCCGTGTCTCCTGAGGAGCGCGCGGCGTTGACCGCACTGCCGTTCGTCTGCGACGTCAGCGACAATAGTTGTGTCCACGTTGAGGCGGTGGTGAAGACGGAGCAGGAGTCCGACACCACCCTCACCACCACTGCCGCACGTCGCTGTGGTGTAAAACGCCGGCGACCCGCAAGTCCATCACCGTCAGTTTCAAAGGAAAGCCTCCACGAGCCGCTAAGCCAGGAGGAGGTGTCGGAGATCCTTCTCCAGCTGGAGGCGGAGGCCACAGGCAGTCAACCCACCACTGAGCGGTTGCTGACCTACGACGATGTGACGATACTGACGGCGTCCTCCGCTGGCAGACCGTCAGCAGAGTGATTCAGCCAGAGCCAGACAAAGATGCAAACACACACATGCACGCGTATATTCTTCCCTTCGTGAGAGATGGAAGAGAAGGAAGAAATAAAGAAAAAAGATTAAGAGACAGAGAGAAGTTATTGGTTTACTTGTGCTGGTAACTTTAATGGTGGATGTTTTTTTTTCTTTGTTTGTTTCTTTGATCCTGCGTGGTTGCAGATTTCTATCACATCCTTAAAAAGACTTTTGTACACTCGCTAACTATTACTTGTACCGCATTGCGCTCTAGATATTGTTTGCATCTACAGTGCGCTGACACGCAAAGTTATATATATATATACAACTTTCTTGTTTGTGTGCGCACGCTCCTTCCTCATCTCTTGAAATTGCGCCGCTGCCACGCACTCCCTCGCCATGGATGTTTTAGCTCCGTATTTTGCGATGCTTAGCGGAGGTGTAAAGAAGATGGAAGGAAAAAAAAAACAAGTAGTCGTTTAATTTTTTGTTCCTTCTCTGTATTTTGCCGTTGTCTGAAGTCTTGGCATCTCGTCGGGGACGTGTCTGTGGCTTATCTGGCGCTTTCTCAACCTTCTCATGGGTGCACCCGGAGTGCGTGCTCCTCACTTCTTCCTTGGCTGCGGGGGTATTAGGAAGGCCACGCGAGCCAAAGACAGGAACATTGAAAACAAGAGAAATACGTTTTTTTTTTTTTTTTTGTAAAGGAAACAGAGGGAAGGAGGGAGACAGGTGAGGTCTGGGTTTGCCTACGTCGCAGAGGAAAGGTCACGATGCGCGGGTCACTTGTGCAGCTGTACTGCTACGACATGTCCGGCGGCATGGCGGCAAACCTAAGTGCGTTATTGATTGGACACCATCTGGATGCCATCTGGCACACCGCCATTGTCGTTTATGGAAAGGAATTTTACTTTGACGGCGGCGTCGGTGTGGTCCACGAGTCGCCAGGGCAGACACGCTTTGGTGCACCGAAGCGCATCGAGGTTTTGGGGGAAACGACCAAAACGGAGGCTGAATTTCGGGAGTGGACGCAGCAGCAACGTCGCAGCGGCTTCGGCCCGTACGACTACAACCTCATTAACCGCAACTGCAACCATTTCACGCAGGAGGCGGCGCAGTTTTTGGTAAACCGAGATATTCCAGACAACATACGCAATATGCTCCCGAACGTGTTAGAGACGCCGCTTGGTCGCATGCTGCGTCCCATGCTAGAGGGGCTCACAGCGGCCCCTGTGGATGCTGGAACTGCGGCTTCACAACCGTCCGTGCAAGCGGCTTTCTCTCCCCCAGCCACAGTCGTTGGTGGTTTACATTCTACGAAGGAGATGTTCACGGATGCAGAGGAGGAAGAGCTTATGCTTGCGTGTGCGATGCTGCAATGCAACGAGTTGCTGTCGGGAGGGTCTCAGGAGGGATTAAACGTCACACGTGGGGCTATTGAACTTCTTCGCAGGTCTTTCATGAATATCTTGGAGAACCCCACTGAACCAAAGTATCGAGGCCTGCTCACAACCAGTCAAAGTTATACGACAAAGCTGCTTCCATTGGAGAAGTTTGGCATTCTTGACATTCTGCGTCTATCTGGATTTCGTCTGCGTCAGCATCCTTCCGGTACAGGGCAGCAGTGGTACTTGAACGACGCCGATGGCAGCGATGCGATACTAAGTATTATGGTTACCCACTTGACCGAGCTTCTGGAGGCTGTGAATGCGGAGGCCGCCCCATCTGTGCCTGTGCAGGAAACCTCTGTGTGTGGTGAGACACCAGCTGAGGCTCAGGAGCTCCATCCTCCGGTGGAGATTGAGAAGCACAGTACGGGTAATCGTGCATTGGAGGCGATATTGCACGACGCCGGAAAACCCCTCTCCTCGCTTGAGGAGCTATGGAAATGGTCGTCTGCGGCGGCTGGCCCCATTACGCCTGCTGTGCCGTGTCGTCAGCGTGTGGCTGGCACATACGGGACGGAGGAAAAACCCCGACTTTTGGTATGCCACGATATGCGCGGTGGGTACATGGCCGGCGACTACGCTCGTTTCGCGCTCTGCGATGCGACCGCCTCAGTGAAACCGGCGGTGGATGCCACCTACACAGTGAACTACTGGAGCCTGGTGGACTACTTTGTCTACTTTTCCCATCATCGCGTTTCCATTCCACCGAAGGAATGGATTAACGCCGCCCATCGTGAGGGGGTACCAGCACTCGCCACATTCATCACCGAATGGAATAATGTAGAGATTGGTCTGCTGCTTCACAGCGCAGAGAAAATGGGCGATGCCATTCTTCAGTTGGTTGCGATCTGCAACGCCTACAACTTTGACGGTTACCTCATTAACATTGAGGACAGCGTGGACAAGATTCTTGCAAGTCGGTTAGTGATGTTTGTGATGATGCTCCGCCGCAGCCTCAACAAGGACCGGCCCCCGTCCTCCCCGGAGCGGGTGGTCATCTGGTACGACGCCGTCACCATAGACGGCGACTTGGACCACCAGAACGGTCTCACAAAAAAGAACGAGACATTTTTTGACGCCAGCAACGGCCTCTTTACGAATTACATGTGGCGCCCAACGCGCCTCGTTGTGTCGACCAAACTTGCGGGGAGGCGTGCGCAGGACGTGTACGTCGGTGTGGATGTGTTTGGGCGCGGCGTGTATGGAGGTGGGGGCTACAACAGTGACAAGGCCGTGAAATGCGCATACGACGCGAAGCTTTCTGTTGCTCTCTTTGCGCCCGGGTGGACGTTGGAGAGAGAAGGCGGGGGTAAGCGGGAGACTTTTCTCCACTCCGACGCCAAGATGTGGGCAAGGCTGCAAGGGTTCTTCGAGCCCAAGTATGTTGCGTATGACACGCTGCCGCTCTGGACCTGCTTCCGCTCAGGTGTGGGGAAACAGTTTTACGTCAACGGCGAACGCGTCGTGGGTGAGGGGCCGCACACCGCTGAGTGGTGTCAGGTCTCCCAGACACACCTTACGCCTTGTTTCCAGTTCACTTCCAGCAGTGCGGAGCGTGGTGCGTGGTGCGTGCTGCCGCTGGGAACGGCGGCCGGTGGTGCAGACAAGGCTGATACCAAACATTGCGACGTGGTGCCTGTGGAGTGGCTAACAGACCCGGTGTGGATGGGGGACCGCAGCCTGAGATTTGTTGTGCCTCGTGGGGGTGCTGTGACACTCCTGCGGTCGCGGATCGGTCTTGGTGGCTGCAGTGATAATAATGGGGTGCTGGCGTTCCTCGACGTTGCCTGGTGGTGTGACTCCAGCAGCAAAGAACATTGGCCTTCGCGACGTCTGCGTGTGGAAGGCGTTTCGGCCAACTCCGTGAGTCACATCATATTGGACGAGGAGAATGGCTCCGGTAGGTCGGCAAGTATTGTTGCGGGGGTTGGTGACTGGGAGATTGTCCGCTATGTTATTCCGGCCAGCACCAACTGGTTATGTATAACTTCCGTGGCGGTGTTAAATATTTCATTGCTTCATGCGCTGCGCTGTACGCTGGGTGGCATGGGCTTTCTTCCGTCCACACACACTGAGAAGGAGAGTGTCCTGCAGGTTGGCCCGGCACATCCGCTACCCGCGGGCGCGTGCGTTGTCAAGTTAACCAAACAACCCACAACACGTGCAGTTCAGCTGAAGTTGCCGCAGGAAGGGAAAGAGTGGGAGAGTTTCCTTGCGTTTGCAAGGGTGCGTGCGGGGGATGGCGCCTCCGTTTCTGTGTACATGGGGCAGCACGAGGCAAAACCGACAATGTGGCTCGAACTTCACATTGCACCCAGCGCTACCGTGGAGAAGCTTCTGCTTCACCGTGTGTCCTCCGGTAGCTGAGGTCCTCCTCAATGAAAGGGATGCGTACGGCAGAAATGTCGCGGTCATCTCATTATTATTGTTATTTGTGTCTGCTGAAAAAAGGCCCGTATATTGTTGCAGATCATCTTGTTCTCTCCCTTTTTCTCCTTGTGTTTCAATTTGTGGGTACCGGGCGGATTGTGCAGTAAGCATGTTGTAGTCATCCCTGCCCCGCTTATTCCCCGTAGACGGTATTGGCAACCGAAATGAACTCGTTGGAGCCGTTAATGAAAATCGTGGAAAAAAATACGTTATTTGTGTGTATATATATATATTTGTTAATGCTCTGTCGGGGAGGGGGGGAAGGGGTAGATTATTGCCATTTGTTACTCTCTCACCGTCACCTCTCTGCAGGTGGGCGTGGCTCTGCGTGTGCTGCCGCTGGGGCTGCTTCATGCGAGTTGTCATGCATTTTGTTTTATTTTTTTTTCATCCCGTGCACAGTGGAGGTGTGTGCCCCCCCACCTCCTCCTCCCGTGCCACGCACGTAGGTGAGAAGTAAAACCACGAAAGAAATATATATATGTTTGCGGCTCGCCGAGCGTTGTTTGGTTTGGCGGGTGGGTTCGCAATTACGGACATGTACGTAAATTCAGTATCCCTTTCAGATCTCCACACAGCGCCGCCACTGCGATCGAGTCCGGCTGGTGGAGACTCCGTAGGCGATATCGCGAAACGGGTGAGTGACATCTTTTTCCCGCCGCCACTGCCACCGCCACTTATATCCCTGCGGGAGGACATTGAGTCTACGCTGCGTCAGAACCGTATTGCTGGCACTCTGTGCATCTGCACGTTGGTCGCGTTCGGTGGGCTATGGCCGGTGCTTGGGTCGGCTGCCGCCATCCTCTTCGACGGGGAGGATGGTACTGAGCGTTACACAGCCGTGAAGGACTGGCTGCAGGATTGAGGCTTGTCGCTCGTGCCCACATTCAGGGCACTGCCGTGCCCATCTGTTTTGTTTCCATGCGCGTTGTGCGACCGGTTTGGGTGTCTGTCTGTACGCACGAATACTGTGTCTGTGTGTGTGTGTGTGTGTGTGTGTGTGTTTTTGGTGGTGTGTCTCTGCGCCTTTGACAGTAATCGCTTATATTTCCGCTTCGCGCCGCAGCGTCTGCCTTGACCGCGCCGTGGGTTGACTTTATATACACACGTATAACTGGTGTGTGTGTGTGTGCATTTGCCGCTGTTGGCGGTGGCGGGGCCGTATGATTTCCCACGTGCCTGCCGTTGGCATCCGTCTTTTTTCATTTTTGTTTTTGTTTTTTCGTTGGCGGGCGGTGGTGGAACACTTCCCGCGCAGCGCGACGAGGGTGCCGCTGTAGAAAAGGAAAAAAAAAACAGGAGCAGAACTGCAAGGCAGAGGCGTGCACGTCACCAGCGCCTCCATCAGCCACTGCAGCCACCCCACATTGTGTTTCTTGGTGCCCGGCCCCAACCTTTTGACATGGCCCCCACGCGTCTCACCTTCACCATCTGCGGCATCATCAACCACCCGCTCTTCCAACAGTGCTGCGAGGCGGCCGAGTACCTTAAGAAGGAGTACAAGGATGAGTTTTACGTGGAGATCTTCCGCGAGGTCCCGCGCGACTTCCACAGCCGCCGGCAGAAGATGCTGGACGAGGGCAGCATCGCGGACGGCACCATGAACGTCATTGTACTTCGTGACGGGGGGATGGCGATGTCCGGGGAAGCCTTCCTGCAGATGCTGCAAGGGCAAACCCACTTTCGCATCCTCAACATCCCTGTGGAGGCGGCAAACTCCTACGAAAAAATGGCCTGTGCGTCGTGGAAGTGCTTTCTGCGGGAGCGTGGCAACAGGTACTGCTGGATGCTCGTCTCCGTCGACGACGTCGTACGCGGCCGCATCACATTTGAGCTCTACTCGCAGGTGGTGCCAAACACATGCAACAACTTCTGGCACCTGTGCCGCGGTGACCTTGGTAGCGTGTCTGCCGATACCGACGGCGAGGGCGAGGCGCAGCCGCTGGAACTTACTTACAAGGGATCCAATTTCTTCCGTATCCTGCATGAGGCCTGGGTGATGGGCGGCGACATCTCTAGGGACCACAACGGCAACGGGGGGTACTCGTGCTACGGTCGATACTTTCCAAACGAGTCATACGCCATTCCACACGATGCACCGGGAGTTGTTGGAATGTGCAACGACAACGAGGACACGAATGCGTCGTCCTTCTACATTACCATGAAAGCCATGTCGTGGATGAACGGACGCTACGTGGCGTTTGGCCGAGTTATAGACGGCATGGATGTCGTGGAGGCCATCCACGACGTAGATGTAAAACACAATCAGAGCCCCTGTAAGACAATCACCATCACTGACTGCGGCGTCATTGACCTCACCGACGACTGACGCGAGGGCAGAAGCGAGGAAAGCTGCGTGCGTCCCGCTGTATAAGTTGGGCAGAGGAGGGGCGACCATCCTCGTCCCCCGCCACTTAGTATTTGCCTTTTTTTATCTTGCCCTTTCACCCTTGTTGTGGGTTGTGGGTGCCATCTTTGCACTGAGCGCGTGTTTCCTGTCGCAGTTTTGGCCTCCGCTCCTCTTGTGAGACCCCGCCGGCGCCAAAAGCGGTACCCAACACCCACATCAAAGGCGCACATGGAGGAGGAGGAGGCGAGGAAGTGGAAGATACATGTGAGGCGGGTCTTATTCAATGTGTATGTCTCAGGCTGACTCCGAATCACCCCACTTTTGGTGAGTTTCCAAAGAGGCCCACGCCCGTTGTCTCTGGGGAGGGGGAGGGGCACGTTGCAGCCCGCGGGCTATGGGATGCGTTTGTTTGTCGCCCCTTTTTTTTTTTTTTGCTTCTTCTAGTCTTTGTTGTAAAGAGTCCATGGGAAATGAAAATCCATCAAGAGAACATAAAAAAACTCCAATTATGCGGTTTTAGCAAAACAAAATCAACGCAGGCGCTGAAAGACGCCGGCAACAACTTTGATGTTGCACTGAGAATACTGAAACAGCAGCAGGAACGGCAGAAGCCGCCGCCGTCGCCCAACGCGCCGCCGGTAACGCAGGTGGGACCCGATTCAGGTGCTCGCGAGGATGAAGCTGACGACAGTCCTCCAAGGGAGAAAAGGCACCCTTGTATTGTGCAGTACAAGCACTGCCGCTACGGGGAATTCTGCCTCCTGCGAGACTACCCCGGCGATGTCTGCATCAGCCATTTCTTCGGGTGTTGTGCATTCGGCAGTGCTTGCAAGAAGCGGCACTACGTGGATGGAGAGGATATACGCGCGGCCCAACTTCCTAAGGTGCAGGACGGGATGATGCGGCTTCAGACAGGTGTTATCCTCAAGCTGGACAAGGTCAGTGGGAATCATCTGCTCGTCGGAACGCCCGTGGAGCGTGACACGGAAGCCACTGCAGACGCTGCGTGGTTGATGGGGCCCCCGCCGCCCAACCACTTCAATCTCATTCGGGGATCCGAGCCAACGCACACGGATCCCTGCCCATTGGTGTGGAAGCGGCAGTCAACATTATCTGCAGCGACCGTGCAGGTGCCGCATCCGTTTTTGGAGGCAGTGCAAAAGCCCCCACCGCCAGAACCGTATAAAACACTAGTCCCGCCAATGTCGCCAGAGAGGGTCCAAAATCCTCCAGCCCACTTAGGGTCCGTCCCCCAACCACTCACGAAGAAGCATCCTTGCATTTTGCAGTTTGGTTCATGCAAGTATGGGAAAAAATGTATTCATATGGATAGAGACGAGGATGTGTGTATCTACTTTCTGAATAGGGGTTGTAATAAGGGGGAAGCTTGCCCCTACCGCCATGAGACCAACGCAGAGTTTCTTTGGCGCCTCAAGCCGCAACTGTTTGGAAATGCCTCTTCTGGAGAAGCAACCTCGCATGGTGCCGTCATTAAACCCGTGGAGCCGATGCATGGAATATATGGCGATTCATTGGAAATACAGCAGCAGCAACAACAACAGCAACAAAGAGTGTCGACATGTGAAGAGAGGCAGACAGTGTATCTGTCGAGTTTTCTTCCCGAGTTGGGGTCTGACGATGATGCGTTTTGCGGAGGTGATGAGCCTCAGAGGCTGCAGCAAGACAACGATGGAGTCTTGGGCGACTGTGAGCTGAATGCACTGATGTCTCTGCTTGGGGCATTCCCGGGTGCTGAGCCAAGTCTTTTGCTACATGCCCTTCGCTCCAGCAATGGGGATGTTAATCTTGTGGCAGACACGGTGAGTAAGTTGGACGGCTTTGATAACGTCGAGGAAGTTGAGGCGTATCTTTCGCGGGAGCGTGCCGAAGATGAGGCCTCGCTGCAGCAGACGCGGACACAGTCCAGGCAGGAATCTCTCCTCACCCTGTGTGCCTTGTTCCCCGCCCTGGATGTCCCCGCTGTTGAGTCCGTCCTGGGTGCCTGTGGTGGGGACTACGCAGAGGCGTACGGCATACTTCTCTGCTCGACGGAAAACATCACGCGACAGGACTTGGGGAATTTCTGGAACGGGAAAATTAAGCCCTCGGACGAGTTGCGGCTGCAGCGGGTGTGTCAAATGTTTCCCTCTGTGCCGAAAGAGGTGGTGCGCAGCACGTTTGGTGCGGCCAGCGGGAACGCGGAGGAGACCATCTCCGCGCTTAACGCGATGGCGCGGGATATGTTGAGTCTGGAGATGGAAGCGGAGGTAGGGGCTTCTGCGCCTGCTGCAGCACCCGCACAGCCTGCCGCTGGGGTGCTGCAGTCCTACTTCCTGCAGCCATGTGCGACACCCGAGGAGATACAGAAGTTCTACGAGGAGGTGGAGGACGAACTCCGCATGTTGGGGGACTGGCGGCGTGTACGTGAGAAGGCGTACATCATCAACTCCTGTCGTATCCGGATCATGAGCCGGGCGACGCAGGCGTATAATCGTGGGGACGGCAAGACAGCAAAGACGCTAAGCCGCCATGGCAAGCAGCTCGCTGCAGATTACGTCCGCCTGAACCGCCTTGCGATGATCGCGCTTGAGCGGGAACGGCTTGCACAGGACCCTGCATCAACGCTGGACCTCCACGGGTTTCACGTGGACGAGGCTGTAGAGGTGCTACGGCGTCGTGTGGAGCTGTGCGTGCGGAAACGCATCCGGAAGCTCACAATTGTGGTGGGCAGTGGGCGACACAGCCGTCGCGGCAACTCCGCCATGTACCCCATCATCCTTAAACAGCTGGAGGAGGACCCGGAGCTTAAAGGCGTCGTGGAGGTCCGATTGGTTAAGCCGGCCTACTTCGAGGTTGGCATCATATTGCGTAATCGATAGTGGCGCAAACTACCAGAAAAAAAAAAGTAAAATAAGAGGGGTGAGGAGTTGAGTTTGTGCTCCATCGCTGCAACCAAGCCATTGAGATTTAACGTTTTCTTGCGCTGAGCCCTTGTCTCACCTTCTCCCCGCCTGGTCACGTGTACCATGCATTTAGGTAGGTATCAATATAAAGGCACATATACTCTCCGTCCTGTGTTGTTGCTGCTAGTTTTGCGATGACCATTATTTTGCCTGGATAGAAGTAAGTCTAGTCAAAGAACGAATAATAGTTATAATAAATTACTGCGCAGACACATACATACACGTTGGTGCTGTCTCGCTTTCAGTTTGGTTTGTGCGTCAACTCTCTCTCTCTCTCTCTCTCTCTGTGTGTATCGCTCTCTTTGCGCCCATACTTGCATGTTGCTATTGTTTTTTGCTTCCTATCCTGTTGTAGGGGCGGGGGGGTAGTGGAGAGGAGGGTGGCTACAGCAGCGGTCACGGTGGTGGCGGGAACGATGGCTAGCTGCAGCCGCGGCATTCTGATCGCTGGGGTTACGAACCGGGCGCGGACGCAGATGGCGGAGGGCATCTTGCGCTGCCTGACAGCAAACACGGTGTTCATTAAGAGCGGCGGCGTCCACCACGAGGCGACAGTCCACCCGCTCGCCGTCAAAGTCATGCGGGACATCGGCATAGACATCAGCGGTCAGTTTGTCTCGTCGCTCGAAAGCGCCCGGAGGCAGCGCGACACCTACGACGCGTACATCAGCATTGATTGCAGCTACGACAGGCGGACAACGGACAAGACGCAACGGCCCTCTGCAGTGGTCAAAAGGCACGTGGCAGACGTCGCGCAGCGTAGCACAGACACAACGCGCATGAGGGATGATGAGCATGGCGATGCTGGTGGCGCCCCCGCTCCTTGTGAGGATGAGGAGCAGGAGGAGGGGGCGGTGTACTACGACCCCTTGCTTGTTCCTAGCATGCCATCCCATTGGGAATATGGCGCCGATGCGACGGATGCTCGGCGATGCTGGAAGATCTGGAGTCCGCGCGACCCTTCGATATTTCACGAAACATCCACGCGTAAGTTTCAGGACCATCTGTATGCGGGGGAACCGCTCTTCATGCAGCTGCACCCGAGCGGCACACGTGCCAGGATGAAGGTGTCGGAGCGGTGGGAAATGGATGAGATTTCTACCCGGTACGCGCTTGAATGCCGTGCTGGGCACGAGGACCGCTTCCTGCGGGCACGGGAGGATCTGCTGCAACGGTGTGCAGCGTTTCTGTCGAAGTTGGAGAAACACTACGGCGAGAGCCTCCTGCTGGACGCGGCGGTGCTGCGTGGGACGTCCCTTGTCTCGTAATGTGACGGCGCAAATGGCGTTGTCGGTTGTGGTACTCACCTGTCTGCTTCACCATTCTTTTTCTTATGACAATTACTCTTTATCCCGCTTCTGCGTGGTGTGGTGTGGCCGCGCTGCTCACCTGCTGGGTTTATTTTATGTTCATGTTATTTTTTCTTTCTTCTTCCTTTGTTATGCTCATTTTAATTTATTTATTATTATTATTTTTTTTGTGGGGGGGCGATACCGCTACTCGTCTATCTGCAGCTGCTCAGTCGTCTCCTCGTTCTGCGTGTGTGTGTGCTGGTTGCATTTGGGGCGAGTGGGTGTGGGTGCCATGTACAACGGTCTTGAAGCCATCAGCGTGAAGGGGACGGGCCTTAGCGGCTACGTGCAGCGCAGCAAGGCGGCCGTCTCGCAGCTGGCGAAGTTCACCCCGGCGGAGTACACCGATGACATACCGCCTGCCACCATCAACCCGCTTGAGGCGCTGCGTTCGGCAAAGGAGAACAGGGATCTTGCCGCGCGGCTGCGGCGGCACGAGGCCCTGCGCGGCATCAAGCTGAAGGTGTTCATGTACCGCGAGGAGCGCGTAGCCAGTGGGGTGGCGGCCGACGTCGTTGAGCGCGAGTGCCAAACGCTGTACGACTCACTGATGCGGAACTACCGGGACGAGGCAGGGGATGCGCAGCGCGTGGAGGCGGCGGAGGCTGCCCAAAAGACTGCCGAGAGGTTTGCCGCGGCGTTTCGTGTGAGGCCAGGAGCTGTCGGTGATGCCTTTGATAGGGTGCAACGCGAGGCAGAGCGACGCGCAGCGGAGGAGGAGCATAGAAATGCGATGGAGCAGAAGATTGCGCAGCGGGTAAAGCGCATCAAGGGAGAGATGGAGCGTGGTGGGCACTGAGGCGTCAAGGAGAAGGGACCGGTGAGAGCGCAAATGGGAAGCATGCCATTGAAAGATGTCTCTTTTAAACCAGCGAAAGGGCAACGAGCGGGAAAAGCTGGCTGCAGTTTCATGCATTTCTGTTTATATTATCTCCTTTGCTCCCCCGTCCCTTTACACAGTCACTCTCTTCCTCGCTGTATGCATCTGTGATTGGTTTCTCCTGCTTTCTCATTCACCCTACCGCAACGCCATTGGTGGGCACATTGCAATCTATGGCATGCGTACAATAATACATCTGTGTATGTCTAAAGGTATCTTACCATGCCGCAGCAGCGACAGCAAACGCCGCCAGACGAGTTTACTGGCATTGTCAAGGCACCGAGAGAGTCGGATTGGGCGACAATCGATTGGATCAGTTCACAGCACGAGGCGAGCGAGCGGCGCACAGCACTGTACCACAGATCTCACGGGGACTCCATCTCGGCCCGTACAAGGAGTGCACTCACACATAATGAGAGCTTTCTTGCCGCTTTTCTGACGGGTCTTGTCTTGGGTCTACTCGGCGTTTTTTGTGATGCCTGTTCGCACTGGGTGTCGGCGTTCCGTGTGGGCATTTGTGCCAGTTTTTTTTGGCTTGGGCGTAGCCTCTGCTGCGTGGAGCAGCATGTTTGCGCTGGCTACTACACATGGGGTGAGTTCTTACTTGGTCGTGGTGATCGCGTGGCGGCGTTTGCCGATTTTTGTTTTTACGTCCTTCTTTCCACCTTTGCCGCGATGATAGCGTCCTTCGTGTGTAAGGTGTACGCTCCGTACGCGGCTGGTGGTGGCATCAATGAGGTGAAGACGATTGTGTCTGGCCACCACGTTCGCCGCTACCTGGGTGGCTGGACGCTCATCACGAAGGCCATCGGGATGAGCTTCTCCACCGGTTCTGGCCTTGTGGTTGGGAAGGAGGGACCATTTGTGCACATTGGCGCCTGCGCGGGGGAGCTGATTGCCCATCTCTTTCCAAGCTACCGGCTGGACGCAAAGAAGCGTGAGTTGATTACCGCGGGTGCGGCGGGCGGTGTTGCAGTGGCCTTTGGAGCCCCTGTGGGCGGCGTCATCTTCGCCCTGGAGGAGATATCTAGCTTCTACAACTTCAAGGCGATAATGGCGGCCCTTATCTGCGGCGTGACGGCGGTGCTGCTGCAGTCCCGCATTGACCTTTGGCACACCGGGCGTATTGTGCAGTTTAGCGTCAACTACAAGCACAACTGGAACTTCTTTCAGCTGCCGCTCTTCGCCCTCCTGGGGGTTGTAGGCGGGTTTCTCGGGTCGCTCTTCAACACGGTAAACATTCGCATCATCCGCTGGCGCAAAAAGCACCTCAAAATGTGGCGGGTGACAGAGGTTGCCGCTGTGGCCGCCATCACAGCCGTCTTCAACTTTTTCACCCCGTACAGTTCAGGCAGCCTCTTGGAGTTGCTTGGGGACGCCTTTCAGGACTGCACCCCACACAGCACGATTGAGCTCTGTCAAGACGACGATGTGCGGACCTTTATCTATCTACTCATCACGGCAACGGTAAAGCTGGTGCTCTGCATGTACACGATAGGCACGTTCCTTCCCTCGGGTATCCTCGTTCCATCCCTCGCCATTGGTGCCCTGTACGGACGCGCGTTCGGCATCCTGTGTCGGTCCCTGCAAGAGTCGTACGCCAGCTCCTACATTTTTGCTGAGTGCTACAATCAGGACCTCTGCGTTATACCAGGGATGTACGCTATTGTTGGCGCCGCCGCCATGCTGACGGGTGTCACACGGATGACGATATGTCTTGCAATCATCATGTTTGAGCTGACAGGGTCGCTGAACTATCTTGTGCCAGTGATTATTGGTATTCTCTGCGCCAAGGCGGCCGCGGAGGCGGTGGGGGTGGAGGGCACGTATGAGATTGGCATTGCGGAGAGCAACCTGCCCTTCCTCGACCCAAAGAAGGAGTGCCACGTCGACGCCGTCGCGGAGGAAGTCTACGCACACCGCAAGTTTACCGTCCTCACCGCCTATGGCTTCACCGTGGGGCAACTAAACCAGCTGCTGCATGAAATGGGGGTGTCCGGCTTCCCTGTAGTGAACTCGCTTAGTGACATGACGCTCATGGGCTACGCGGCCACCAAAAAGATTGTGCGTGCGATTCAGGTGGCCGCCGCAAAGGACAGCCGGGTGGACCTTGACACCTTCGTCCGCTTCACCGCGACGCCGTCGCCAAATTTGCCGGAGGGTCACCTCGAAATAGACATCACCGCTGTCGTGGAGAGTCCCATGCTGCAGGTGGAGCCGGAGTGTCCGGTCTCGCGCATGCTGTACCTTTTCAAGTCGCTGGGGGTGCGCCATATCATGGTGTGCCGCCGGGCGAAGTTCGTCGGGTACATCAGCAAGAAGGACTTTGTGAAGTTTTTGCGCAGCACCGAGCGGTAGGAGAGCGCGTAGCTTGCAGGGAACGCGGGCAAGGTGGGGCACACCACATATCACGCCCGATCTTCTCCCCGGAGAAGCGTGGGTGGCAGACAAGCAACGTGCGCCTGTGATACAAAAAAAAAACGCAAAATGGCAGTGAGGCGCGGTGTGTGTAATGTGTGTGTGTGTGTGTGTAGCACAGGCTGAAGGCGCCGGGGAAAGAATGAGAGCCAAACACGAGAACACATACATAAAAAAAGGGGGGAATATTACTATGATATGAGGATATCGTGTGTGGAGTGGAGATAGTGGTGATCCCTCTCTTTTCTCTTAGTGTATCTCTGCGCGAGAGGGAAGGAGAGAACGTGTAGGGGAGAGCACAAAATTAAGGTGTGTTCATGTGTGTGTGGTTGTATTTTGTCGAGTGCGCTGCGGCGGCTTATCCTCTTGTTGTTACTTCTGCGCCGCCTCTCCCGCCGCCGCTGCCGCTGTTAGTGACGGTGGCTGCTTGGACGTCCCTGCGGCGCAAGTTTTTTTTTTTTTGTTTCTTTGGTTTTATGTCTGCATCCAGCAGTGCCGAGGGACAGGGGAATAGAGAGGCGTCGCGAGACACACACCGGCACACGTACGCACAGGCGCGTGTGCCTCGAGCTGAAGCGAATACGGCAGGGTGTGTGGCGGTGCGGCAGAAACTACAGGCAGGCAAAAAAAGCCCGCTTGGTGTATTCTGGCTTCCTCCATGCAGCAGGGCAGGAAAACAATTGAGAGAGTCTACAGAAGTAAAGAGGAAGCGCACGCATTGAGGGCGAGAAGAACCGGACGTCACGGAAGGGATATTGGGGAGGGGTGCAGAAGTAAGAGCGGGGGTGGGGGGTGTCGGAGTGAGAGATAAGTAGGGCGCCCATCCATCTACCTCCATATACATATCTGTATACATACATACATACAAACATACAAAAAAGAGAAGAAAATAAGTGGACCGGACCGTACTGTTACGCATGGGTTGTTGCTGCAGCAAAAAGAACTCGCCCGACAAAGCTCATACTAAGGGGGAGCTGGATAATGAAGAAGACACCCACGTGCATTCCTTGATGCTTGCCGGGGATAGCCTGGCAGAAAGTGCAAAACTGCAGCAACAGCTCTCAAGTCCGCTAGAGCCGCCAGAACCAACTTCAGTGACGGAGACGGCACCATTCATCGCACGAAGTACAGGGTCAAACAGCTTTGAATCCTGTAGGAATGAGTTCTCGGAAACGATTGAATGCTCCTCCACTACGGTTGACGACAATCACACGGGGCCTCTCAGCTTTCGCCGTCTGGGGACGGTAGCATCTAGTACGTGGCCGGATGTAAGCATACCCACCGCTACAGCTCGCTACGACCACCTCCGATCCGTGTCAGAGGTTGATACAGAGGAGGACTTTTCGCAGGTGGAGGGTAGCACTACTTCCTTGCAGGATCGCCGGCTAGCATTCATGGCCCGAGAGCGGGAAAAGACGCTGGTGCGAGTGTTCATGTTGACAGAGAGTGAGCGGCGACGCGCCATTGTTGATTTTTGTAACACCGCTTGCCGTGCCATGGTGTTCCGGCACTACCGGGGCATATTAGCCATCGAGCGTCGGGGGATGCTCATTGTGCACTTCACGGAGCGCTCCGCCCTGCTGCTGCGCATTACAGTGGTGCAGGAGGCAATCGGGCGTCGTCTGATGGAGCACGAGTGGCAGGCCCGGCTGTTGCACGAAATGCAGCAGCATCGCATGGATCGACGTAGACGTGTCAAGGCTGACGTTCAAAGCGAGAGCGAGACCACCGACGCATCGTCGGTGCACAGTGACGAGGAAGAGGTGCGCTCGTCGGGTGCCGTAGCCGCAGCGGTGACGCCAACGGGGAGCCGACCCATTTCAGCTCCCGGCAGTTTTTGGCGGCGGCGGTCCCAACGGCGTCATCGGTATTCGTCGTTATCGCCGTCTGCTCATCTTCCTCCTCAGCAGCAGCAACAGCAACAGCAGCAGTTAGGGTCCCAGGTGGCTAGTGTCAAATGTCCTGCACGACTGACTAAGTCGGAAACCGGGGGCTGCCTGCAGCTAGGGGGTAGTGAGGTCCTGCAATCTCAGCCAAACTTTGGTGCATGCCAGTCGATGAAATCGCATTCCGGTGGCGCGGAGAAGTCAATGAAGCGTGCACCGCTTCCTGCCTTTGCAGATGTAGTAAATGGGATGGGAGCACCGTTTTGAGCCTCAGTGATTGTTGTGTGTTTCTAATGGGGTTGTTGCATCTGTGAGTGTTTCCTGGGGAGTGAGCCTTGTTTGTTTCCTCCCCCCCTCCCCTTCCTCACTTCCCCTCCCTCACTTTTTTTGCCCACGAAGAGCAGGGGGAAAGCGTTGTGTGAGGGGCGGTGATTGTCAGCGCCGCCTCAATAGCAGAGCAGTGTCATGTTGCGCGGGCGACTAAGGCAGATGGGGCATAATGAACAAAATTGGAAAGAAAAGCAACAGCAACTAAGAGTCCTTTAGAAAGGAGTGTAACACATACATGCGCCTACGCATACGTGTTCATAAAGAGGACTCTCTGTACCCCCTTATGTATACATACACACATTCACTTTTCTAGCGGTACTTGTCACCGTGGAATATCTCCTTTGTTGTTATTTTGTATGTGTGGTTGCGTTTTCTCCTGTATTTATCTCGATGATTTTTATCATTGTTGCTTTCCTCTTTTTTTTTTCTTCCTACTTTGCAACGATGCTCATTGTTTGCTTGTTGTTGTTATTTTTCGTTTTTCTTTTCTTTTATTCCTTGCTATATTTTTGTTTGTTATTATTGAGCCCACATTGGCTGCGTGGTGCCACTCGCTCTCTCAGTGCCACTATGAGTACAATGTAGAGGTGGGCGCTCTGTGTGTTTGCTTGCGTTGCTATGTGCATTTGGAGGGGTGCGACGGCGGGCACAACGACGCTCCGGCTTTGCCCGCAGATGGCAGGCCACACTCCTGCACGTTTAAACCCTGCTCCCTAATCTCTAGCCCGAGATGCAAGTGCCGCGTGGCTGCTGTGGTTGTCTGAGTGGGTGGGTGTGCAGTTTGCGTCGGCACGGAACTTTGGGCTCCGTCACGGTGCGGGCGAAGGGATCTGGAGGGGTGGGCGGATGATGAGCAGAGTTGATCCTCGGTGTGGCGGTAAAACAACGCTAGAGTGTGTGGTTGTGTGATTCACTTTCTTTTTACACTCCCCCTCTTTCCCTTCTTGTGTATGTGGGTGGGTGTGCGACCGCTCTTTCTCATACTTTGCTGAACGCATTGCTGCCTACCGCGCTCTCTCCCTTCTTTTATTTGTTTGGCTGATAGTGGGGATACGATCATGGCGTCGGTGAATCTGGCGGAGCGGATGCAGAAGCCGGCGGTGTGCTACACTGTTTTTGGTGAGACGCACAGCGGAGTGCTGCACGGCGTGGACAACAACTTCAACGCTGTCCTTGACAAGGGCGGGGAGCAGCGCGAGCTCTGCTTCGTTCGCGGGGAGACAGTGCTGTACATCGGCTTCATGGACACTGATGAGACGAGTAACGATGGCGGCAACGGCGCGTAATGCCGCCTGCCCTTCTCTATTTATTCCTCCTTCGTTCTCCGTGCCTGCCGCTCTGCGGGGAATAGAGTTGGGGGGATGGGGGGCTTGTTGACAGGGGGGGGGGGGTTGTAGCTGCGTGGATACCCTGCTTGATTGTACTGCCTCCTTCGCGTATTCGGGGGTTCGACGCCGTTTTTGACTCTTGCCCTTCGCTTCTGTTTTTTTTTTTTTTTGCCTCTGTTTCTGTGACTCGTAACGGGGCTGAGTAAAGACGTGGGAAGCGAGTGGCGGAAAGAAGGCGGCAGGCAACGCATTAGGAGCACGCCGTCGCAGTTACAGTGTGCGTGGACGTGCAAAAAAAGTTTTCTTGACACTTTAGTGCCTCCCGCCGGGGTCTTGCTGCCTATCTGCCTGCGTGTGGGTGAAGATGTCTTCCCTGCCGGGGGTGGCGCGATATGAGCGGCTGCCGACGCGCAGCAAAATTCAGTTCTTTTGGTGTTCCATGCTTGTCATGGGCTTTGCCTACCAGTTTCTCAAGATGACGGTGCTGCGCGTGCAGCCGAAGCGTGAGGAGCAGATGTACATGCACATCAAGAAGGTCTACGGGGACAACCTGCCACCGGAGTTGATCGACATCGCCAGACGACAGCGGGAGGCGCAGGACGCCCTGACGCTTTCTAACATGCTACGCACCCCAACGCCGGGAGAGACTGCGGGTGCGCTGCAGCACGAACTGGACCCACGTCGCATCGCCCAGCTAAAAAGCTACAACGGCTACTGAGCTATATCGCACTGGAAAAGTCACAGCGGCGTGGTTGTGTGTGAGTGTGTCGTTGTTGTTGCTTGGTTTGGTGCTGCCGCTGCGTGCACGCGCGCCCCGCACCCACGGTGTACGTGGGACCGAGGGGGGAAAGGAAGGGAGGGGGGGGGTTCTGCTGCGGCGTTGTAACTGCTTCTCATGTATTTGTTTGTGTTTGTTTGTTTGTTTGTTTTTTGCTTTGGGTCATTTGTTTTATTATTTTTTTTCTTTTCTTTTTCAATGTGTGCATGCGCACCTCGCCGTGCCTGTCTGGCTCGTTTTTGGGGTATACGGGCAGCGGCGCCAGTGAGAAATAGAGAGAGGGAGGGATACAGTGTGAACAGGAAAATAGAAGCAGAGCGAGAGAAGCATAAGAGAGAGAGAGAGAGAGAGATTTTTCTTCTGCTTCTTTTTAGTGACGATGCGTATCTACGTGCATGTGCGGGAGAAGGTCATTGCGCTGGAGTGCGGTGACGGCACGCAGGATGTAATTTGGCTCGGCAACGCAGCCATGGTTCACTACGACGCCTCCTTCGGGCGCAAGTACGGGTCGCCGAACTGCATCCAAAAAGAGGGCGGCATCACCTGCGACCCCGAGGCCCGCGTCCGTGATTTGCTCGACGACAACCAGCACGTGTTCGCCGTCCTTGACGGCGATGATGAGGACTGAGCGAACGCCCCTTCTGCTGCGGCTGCTGCGCGGCAGAAATGGAGGCAGAGGGTTAGGTGCCGCATGCCCAACGCGGCGCAAAATGGTGGTGAATCCCTTTTTATGCCTCTTTCTTTTTTGTCTGATTTTGTGCGGGTGGGGAGGTGCCATGCGCTCGCATGCCGCCCTTGTCATGTGTTCTCCCGCCACACACTCGTTCCTCCTCCCCCACCACCAACAACAACAACCCGTTCTCTCATGTAAACTGTGCCTATATGCTGAAAACACTAACGAAGACCAGGAAGAATGATAGGCGGGACTCAGGTCGTGCAGGTGGTGCGCGCTGTTGCCAACGGGGACGGTGACTGGGCTGATGTGCCGCGTTGTGTGCGGGAGGCGATTCTCTTGGCATTGACTGGGCCGCAGTCACAGACAGCACGAGGGATTGGCGCCGCTACCGAAGCGGCGGCGGCAGCAGCAGCAGCGGCCTCTGTGGATGGGGGAGCGGCGGAGCGGCGGCACCGCAACCTGTGGCCCGAGTCGCATGAAGGAACTCGTGTGGCGGCCGTATCGCTCACGGAGGAGGTAATTCAGCGCAGCGTGCGCACCTTCGAGGACGCGGCGTGGGTACGAGATCAGGCAGTGCGCAGCTTTGCGCAGTTTCACAACAACATTGAGGAGACCCGTGAGGCGATGAGGCACCACCTCCGCGCTTTATGGCGCACCGCGGCTCAGCTGGACCCCACGCTGCTCCGCAAGATTCGGCAGGAGTGCAACCTCCGTCCAGGCGACGACGTTCCGGATGGCGTCGTCATTCCCGCTGCTGCACTGCGGCGGCTGCAAGAGGTAGAGGCGATGGTGGATGAGGTTGCGGAAGGCGTCGAGGCGCTGCGGTGGGCATCCGTGCGGTTTGCGGCAAACGTCCTCTCGGATGAGGAGAAGCAAGCGATGGGGCTTGACCCAGCGGATCTGCGGCCGGAGGATGTGCTGCTGGGCCACACCCCACCGTGCGGAAGTGGTCGTATGTACACCGCTGCGCAAAACTCACCCAGCGGCGACGGGAACGTCCCGCACGCGCTGCTCGATCCGCCCCGGAAGAGCCATGAGCCGGTGGGGTCGCCGGAAAAGAGCAGCACGCCTTCAAGGCTTGGGGACGGGTTAACACTGAGTGAGAGGCGAGAGCGCTACATGAGCCGCATCGCGCTGCTTAACGAGGCCTCAATTCAGCAGAAGGCGGAGGAGGAGCTGTCTCGCCACCGCTCCTTGCACTCTACCAAAGGGAGCACATCACAGCACTGCATGGCGTCCGAGAGCCCTCTGAGCAGTCCGGGTTCACAGGTGTAGAGGGGGCAAAAGCCCTAACACGCAGACACAAACAAAAAAAAAAGAGTAGATCTCTGCTCAAGAGGAGGAAGGGATCTGCAAGGGAAGAAGCCAGTGAAGAATGAAGGAGAAAGAATGTGTTCCGCTCATATAATAACTGTGTGATTATGCGTGACCGTTTTTTTTTGTTGACGATGCTGTTGCTGTTGATGTTGTGCGTGTTTCTTTCTTTTTGTATCCCTTCTTGGGAATTCGTGGAGTGGATTTGCGTATTACATATAGATATATTTATATATATATATAAATATAAATATCTGCGACCTTGTGAGGTCTGTGGTGTACAGGCATGCCTGTGCTTATGTTGCCCAAGAAGGTTGCGGATGGGTGGGTTTGACTATCCCTGTCTTTTTTTTTTTTGTTTGTTGTCGTTGCCTCTCTGCTGCCCTTTATGCCTTGCGTACTTGTCCCGGCATGCACACATACACACACACACAGTAAGAGAGAGAGAGAATAGCAACGACGTGATGATTGAGGTCTTGAGGTCACCACCGGACCTGCGTGAGATTGAGCGAGGGCTGGGGGATTGGGGGCAGGTGCCGCGGTGTGTGCGGGACACGCTGGTAGCCATACTGGAGTCCCCGCGACGCGACGCACCACCTGCCGTGGTGGACGACGCCGAAAGGACACTGCTGCCGCTTCGGCGGCGGGGACCAAAGACGGACATAGCCTCCATGTTTGAGGCCGTGCTCGCAGCGCACCGCCCACGGGAAGTGTTTGTGCCAAATCTGCAGTGCGTTGTCACGGAGTCGGGAGAGAAACTCCCACAGCATTATCACACCGCTGCGGCTCCCACGCTTGCGCCTGCCGTGGAGGCAGTCGGTTCATCGCGAGAGTATACTGGCTGTATCCCATGCAACGACGCCGACAGTGACGAAGCGGAATACGAGGGAAAAGCGGAAGGAGTGGGGTTGCAGGATTGCCGGGTGCGGGAGCCGCAGCTTCTTCCCGACAGAAGGGTTTTCTACGGCAACGTGTTGGAGCCTCCAACGGAGTCGCCACGACGAGACCGCGCAACGTCGTCTCGAGGCAGCGTAGGCGCCCCGCACAAGAGGCGGCTGCGTGTGGTGCGCCCCATTGTCATGGACACACCCACCGTGAAAAAGGTTGAATGTGTTCGACACCGCCATGAAGTTAGAGATGTGCTTCTGCGTGTTCACTGTGAAATTGACCGCCTGCATGCGGAGGCTGATACATGGTTTGTGAAGTCTATCTATGATGCGATGCGGCTGGACCTGCGGCGTGCGAAGGACGTCTACGGTGAGGTGAAGCCGCTGCCACACCCCACAAAAGAACAGGAGCAGGCGCTTGCCGCATTTGCAGAGGGCCTGGCGGTGCTGCAGGAGGCAACAGTAGAGCTGGTATCGACGTTTCTGTCACAAGAAGAGAAGCGGTTTCTCGGTGTTGATACGCACAAGTATCAAACCCGGACGCAGCGCAGCAGCACCTATCAGTACGCCCCGGCAACTGGGGCGAAGCGAAAGGAGCAAGCGACAGGGACGTGGTCGCATGAGGGTGTCTCTTCAACGCTCAAAGGGGGGGATGTCGAGGACAGGCACCGGGCCCGAGACATCACCCGTCATGTCGCCTCCGCGCCGACCACGGCGAAGGCTGCCGCTCCGCACCCCACTGGTGCTGCGGCGGCCGCCGTTGTTCCTCCTCCTGCTGCTGCCAGCGGAAATAATTCTGTGAGGGAGAAGACTGGCGTCGCAGCTGCCAATCCCTCGCGCAGCACCCGCCTCAAGAGGAAGTCCCAACCAAAGCCCAGTCAGCAACCTCCCACTGACTTCCTGCCCCGTGCAGCTACCGCCTCTGCGCCCTCCGTGACGGAGAACGACGCAGCCCTTGGTAGCTTGCCGCAACTAGATCTGTTCGAATTCGGTCCAACCCCGGCAGCACCAGCACCAGCAACAGCGAAGGAGCAGGATCGAACGAGAAAGGGCGCTGCTGCATTGCCTCCACCGGCACCCTTGAAGAAGCATTTGTCATGCTCAACACTTTCGACAAAGTCGTCAAAGAGTGCGGGTAATCGCGTAGACGGGAAAAAGGAGGCGGTGGCACGAGAGGCGGCACCTGCACCTGTCGCACCTGCCAGGCCAAGCGTTGGACTTGGGAGAATTGACATAAAGCGCTTCCTGATAGACAGTGACAGTGACAGTGACAGTAAAGCCACTTAGACAAGAGAGAGAGAAGAAAAAAGATGCAAAGGCCTGTACGGGAAAATGAATTGCATCTCCACAATAGAGAAGTTATGACGTTGGTAATACAATGTAATCGTTTGCTCTCTTCTTCCATGGAGCAGTCATACACGTAATCTGCATGATGCAATTGTGCGTATGTTTCCTTGGGTTGGGGCAGAATCTATTTCCTATTTATCGCCGTGGTTTTTTGCGCACTTTAGGTTTTCCTTCCATTTGTTTTCTTATTACTATTGTTATTTTCTTTGCTTCTATTGCTCGTTATCGCTTGTTGTATGAACTGCCACAAGTTTGATGAAGCGGCTTTGTAATGCGTTTTGTGGTCGGCCCGTGTCCCTCGTTGCACGGCACCTCCCAGTGGCGGCAGCGCCTCTTCTGCAGCTGCGCCTTCTAACCACCACCACCACGGCTGATGAGGGAATTGTGGGCGGTGGCGACGTGCAGGATATGGAGGAGACGCACCCCGACTTTCAGCCCCGCTTGGTCAGCACCGAACTCGCAGAAGACGAGGTGGTGATGGTGAAAAAAGACATCGACGACACCATCCGGACGGAGGACGTGGTTGCTTTCATTAAGGGTGTACCAGAGGCACCCATGTGCGCCTTCTCAAAGCGCATGATTGACGTTGTGGAGGCGCTTGGGTTGGAGTACACGTCGTTTGACGTCTTGGCACACCCCGTTGTGCGGACGTACGTGAAGGAGGTGAGCGCGTGGCCGACGATACCGCAGTTATTTCTTAAGGGCGAGTTTGTAGGCGGGCTCGACGTTGTGCAGAAGATGGTGGAGGGAGGCGAGATGCAGAAGCTTCTGCAGCAGAAAGGAATCAGCTTCCGTAGACAGCCATGAAGGCGTTGAGAGCAAACAGAAGAAGAGGTGGGAGAGAAGAGGAAACGAAAAAAAAAAAAGAATCCTCCAAATCCGGCGGTTGAGGTGACACGTGTTGTTCATTTGTTTGCCCCTTTTGTTGTTGTTGTTGTTTTCTTTGCTTAGATGGACACCGCGTTTGTTTGTTTTTTTATTTGTTTCTGTGCGGTTCCTTCGCTGTCTGCGCCTCCCTTCCCATTGGTGCGTGTGGGTGTGTGGCTTCCTGTCGATTCCCCCAGGGCCGAAGGAACTAAACTCCCCTCTCTCACATACACGCACATCTAAGAAAACAGTTGCACCCATACTAATACACTTTGTTTATCTGTGTGTGTGTGTTTTCCTTTTCTGCCGTTTTTTTTTCCCCCCTCCGTTTGTTTGTTTGCTTTACATATCCGCACTGCACTTTCCTTTGGTGTGAGATGCACAGCAGGGCATGCCTCACTACCAACCTGGTGGGTGGGCTTGGGAACCAGCTGTTTCTCGTGGCGAACCTGTTGGCTACCTCGCGGCGTAATGGCGTGCCGGCGGTCCTGAAACAAATGCCGTGGAGCAGCAGCAATGAACAGCCACGGCCTGTGTACTGGCAGTCCATATTTGAGGATCTCAATGCCTACGGTGTCGGGGGCGACGTCCCTGCGGGCGTTCCCGAGGTCATTGTGCCCGAGCCGCGTCCGGTGATGCCGGTGAAGGTGGATGCCTCGGTGAACTGTGTGTATAACATGGTTGGCTTCTTCCAGTCAGAGGCGTTTTTCGCTGACTGCCCCGTGGTGAGGGACGCGCTTCCCTCTAGGTTGCGCAATGCGGCGGTGCAGCACCTGCGCGAGAACTACGGCGACCCCAGCACCGTGCAACGCGTTGGTCTTCACATTCGTCGCGGGGACTACCTGCGGATGCGTGACGTGTTTGAGATTTTGGAGGTTGATTACTACGACGCCGCGGTGCGACAGTTGCTGGGTCACAGCCTGCATCTACAGTCTATGGGGGGAGGTTGTGGAGTTCACCTTCTGGTGTTCTGCGAGGAGGAGCGGTACGGCTCCTCCGTCGTCGGCTACTTCCGCAGCAAGTACCCTGGCCTCGAGGCGTCGCTGGTGCATGCCGCCGCAGAGCGTGTGCCTTTCGAGTGTGGGAGTCATGCACCTCGAGAGGTGTTGGAGCTGTTGATGCTATCCGGCTGCGAGGACGTTGTCATGTCGAACTCGACGTGGTCGTGGTGGGCAGCGTATTTTAACGAGTGTCCCCTGCGCCGCGTCGTGTCACCCGCACGGTGGTTTGTGCAGCACCCCTACCCGCAGTCAAACCACCTCTACCGCAAAGACTGGATTCTGCTTTAGAAACAAAAAGAGCCACGCTTCCAGCGAAAATAACGGCGAGTTTGGAAGGCGGCGTGAGAAAATATATATATATTTCCTATCTCTCTTTCTTTCGTTCCCTTGGTATGTGCGTGGGTGGGTGGGTGCCAATTTTTTTTTTTATGTCCCTCTCTTTTTAGTTGGCCCATTGACAACGCTTGAGCAGCGATGAACTGTGTGTACCATAGCAAGGCAGCATGTGTGGAGTTCCTTCAGGCCGTTGAACGCCTGCGCCCGAGTTGGTGGACACCACCGTGTGCAGAGTTTTTGCGTCGCGTGGAGTGCACCCCAACCGTCTCTGTGCAACCAGGTGAAAAGATACTGGTTGTTTTGGAGGGCCTCGACGGCGTCGGAAAGTCCGTCGTGGCAAATTCGCTGCTTGAAAAGCTTGGCGGATCAGCAACACTGCTGCGCACGCCGGATCCTGGCCTCAGCGACATCCGCAAGCTCTTCCGCGAGCAGCAGGAGGAAACTGTGCGGGCCTTCTACAGCGCCGCGAATTATCTGGCAGCATGGGACGCGCTCAATGCCATCCAGGAGCGAAGGATTGTGCTGTTTGATCGCTGGTGGTGCTCCACGTGTGCCATGGCACTCGCAAACCGTTGCAAGCTGGCGACGCTTCCCGTGGCGAGCGACGCAGTGTACCGGTGGCCGCATGACCTTCCTCCGTTCCAGCTGGGAGTGCTACTGTACGTTGACGAACACATCCGTCAGGCACGAATACGTCAGCGTGCCCCGGAGGATGCAGAGGAGCGGCGACTCAGTGCGCAGCAGGAGATGCGTGCGGTTGCGATGGAGGCGTATCGTCGCTTTGGCTTGCTCACCGACGTCCAAGTTGCCACGTACGGTGTGGCGGTGAACCGTATTTTGGCCCTGATGACGGAGAAGGGTCTGCCGCACAGTGCGACACCCTTCACAGAGGAGGAGTTGGCGGAAATGAGCCCCTTCTAGACGGCCAGGGGGGCGACACGTATTCCCCCTCCCTGCTGTCGTTCTTTTTTTTTTTACTTCTTCCTCACAGGCGCCTCACTTGTTTCTCTCGCTCACTCACGCCTTCCCCATTCATTTACTCCACCTCAACTGTGAAAGAATGGGTGTGTGAGGTCACTTGCACCTTCGGCGTCGGTGCGCCACTTTTACGCTTCTGCATCGTCCTTCAACGTGCCCATTCTGCCACTTTTCCCTGTGGGGAGAAAGTGGGATTTGTCCCATTCAACCAAGACGAGGCCTGTAAGCTTCATCTGTTCCTCTTGATTTTATTTTGATGTGATTGTTTTTGTTTTGACTGGCCTATTTTTTCACATTCTCTGAAAAAAAGAGGAGGAGGAAGGGGGGGGGGCGTTGCCTGCGCGATACAGGCACCCCCACTCCGCTCTAGTCACTCGTCGTGATTTAACTTTGGTGGGGTGTTGCCCCTTGCGCCGCTCACATGCCTGACGGCATGCAAAGTGGGGGAGATGGGGGCGGAGGTAATCCGGTTCTTTTGTGCCTGCGCTTGTGTGTTTTGGTTCTTGTGTGTTGCGGCACCCTCCACCCGTTTTTTTTTTTGGTCGGTCACCTCGCGGTGGCGGCGCCTGTTGGTTGTGGAGGGCCACGTGAGGCAGCTGTGGCTACAAGGCGTACCGGACATGGGGGTAGGGAAGTGGTACCGCTTGAGTTCTTTGACTTTGGCCCTATAATATTTTCTTTTTAAAGTAGTCGTAGGACTTAGGAGCAAGGCAGCCGAGGGCTGCGTCTTCGTCGCTGCACATCTGTAGTGTACCAAAAGCTACACCCTTCAGACATGAGCATCCCACTACCGGCAGTTGCATCGTCTGTGAAGTCAAAGCTTCGCGCAGTGCTTCTGCCCCTTGCGGTGGCAGTCATCGGTGCAGGTTGCTTGAGACGGCTTTACTGCCGCTGCGTTATTCATGTGCGTCCGAACTGTGTCACAATTGTGTATGAGACGCGCCGGAAGACCATCTTGGCCACCTCCATGGACAAGGAGCGGGGCGTGAATGAGAGCTTGCTGCAGTACTACCACTTTCGTCCCCTCATGTGTGTTATTGGATACTTCCTGTACAGCAGCAAAAGCCTGGTGGTCGTCCCCCCCTCTACTTTTTTTGGCGCCTTTACGTTACCGCGTGCTGTCATTGAAGAGCACGGCGAAGGAAGGGCAGTGGAGTGCACCGTGGAAGCCATCCAGGTGACGGACGGGTATGTTCGCATGACACTTACAGTGTGGTACTGTATTCCCTTTGAGCAGCTAGAGCGGTACTTGGCGGCAGTGGGGCCAACGCCGCCAAACGAGCACATTGCCATAGTCACCGCTGCCGTCGTCAAGACTCGTGCCGCTGAGCTGTCGGTTGGTTTAATAATCAACAAGGCGATGCGAGACGATTCGTTCCTAATTCCATTCCGGGAACATCTTGCGTCTAAAGTGATGTCGAAAGCCTGTGTAAAGCTGATAGATGTTATCGTTGAGAGTTCCGAAATCTGCGAGCAGCCGGCAGGTGTTTAGTTGCAATAAATATATATATATATATATATGCATGTCTCTGAGAGAGCGTGTTAGAGTGGGAAAAGGAGAGGTGGAAAACAGAAAATATTTTAAGGAAACCAGAATACAAACACACAGCGAACGTTTGGCCGGGCATTGACTTCGCTCACTCACTCACCCACCTTGCCTTTTATTCACTTCCCCTTTGCTTGTGTTGGTACCGGATTGTTCGTGATGAACGTATTACCTCCCGCCGTTGAATAAAAGGTGACTCATTACCATAGCGGGCATCTTTCTCTTTTTATCTTCTTTTCTTATCTTTCTCATCACTGTTGTCTTGTTTTTTTTTTTGCTAGTTTGTTTACTTCTTGCTTGGTGTTAAACAAATTATTCTAATTTCGTGCCCTCGTGTGCGTGTGTACCCTCCGCTTGACTTCGACGCCATGACGTCCGTTGAGCTTGTGTCAAATCCCTCCAATGAGTTAAGTACGCATCGGTGGACCATCGGTGGCCTGCGGCACCTTAACCGCAAGAACAAGCTGAGCTCCCTGCCGTTCTGGACGCCAAACCACGTTACGAAGAAGCATCAGTTCCGTTGTGTGCTGATCAGAGGTATGGTGGCGAAGGATCAGGAAACCGACGACTACGTTGGGCTCATCCTCGAACTGATCCCTCCCCCTGAGGGGGACGACGTGGCATACCCGGGTGGCTGCTCCATCACGGCCCGGGTGGTGAACCGTGTGCATGATCAACGCACTCACGACATAGTGCAGACGCAGACGGTCGCTTTTGTGCCAGAGCAGCTGCAGATGTCCTTCCCCGAGCTCATCCCCCCAACGACTCTGGACAGCCCCGAGTTTGTGGAGGGGGAGGACATGGCACTTTTTCTGGAGGTGACCATAGAGACTGGCGTGAATGTGGCGGTGGAGTGGGCCAACAAGACGGTCTCTAAATTCTGGGGCACCGTATACGAGTCGGTGAACCAAATGGTGCGGAAGGTTTCAAAGGCGTACAGTGACACACGAGAGGAGTACGGCATGCAGAAAGAGGAGGAAGCACTGAGCGTGCCGTGGGATAATGTGCCTGAGAATTGGGTCGGTAGGGAGAAAGAATGGCGCCACCTCATATCGGAGCAAATTGTGGAAGATGAGGGGACCTTTCGCTACGGCCCCAACAGAGGCTTCTCAAAGGATGAGCAAGCCCTGCTGCTGCAGTGTGGACTAAACCAACGCCTCATTACCAACGCCCAAGCGCAGTTTGACTACGATCGCGATGTCCACGAAGGCCTCTTGGCCTTGCCTGGAATGCGGCAGCAGCGCTACCACCTTGTCCCTGGGAAGATAAAGGAAAAGGTATTTTGGGCCAACTATTTCTCGAAGGTGGTGGCGTTGGCTCAGTGCAAGAATGACGAGCAGGTACGCATGCTACTGACGGTGCTCAATGCGCCCCCAGCAGTGAAAGCGCGCGACATGTCCTCCTTTCGAGCCGTGGACGAGAGGACAGTACTTGAACACGTAAAAGCTGCCCAGGAGACGGCTGACATGCTGGTGGAGTACCTCACCGACGATGCGCCGTACGGCGAGATTTTGGTGGAGGCGGCGGCGACAGCATGTAAAGGGCAGGTGAAGCAGTTAGACGGTTACTTTAAACGTGTGGACTTGTCGGAGGAGACGCTGAGAATGACTGGTGCCGTCTTAAAGCGACTACGGGAGCGACTTAATGCATACGCGGAGTGGAAGGAACAGCACGCCGCCTCATTGAGTGTACTAAAGGAGACTGAAGACGATGCACATGCGAGCCAAGACGTCACAGCGGAGGAAACAGTAAATAACAGCGAAGCTTCCGTTTCAATCATGGGCGGGGCTAAAGGAGAATATGCCGCCGTGGACGCCGGGGAATCCCATGCGACCTCAACGAATCCCACAACGAAGGCTGGTGACTCGACATGGGGAAGTATGGACTTTCCATTGATGCCGTGGGAGGAGGAGGAGGTGGCCGAGGCGCACAAACGTGAGGAAGATGCGGGGGGGAAACACAAGAAAGAAATGTAAAAAGAAGTGGGAATTTTCGGGGCTGAAGGAAGTAAACGAGCGAATACGTTCGTACGTGCGGGGTCTGCGGAAAGTGGCGCGAAATACGCCACTTTGATATATTTATGTTCTGATTTTATTTTGCTTGCACTACTTTTTTTTTTTTCTCTTGGGAGGGAGGGGGGAGTATTGGCATCGCTTCCGCTTTCATTTCTCCCCCTCCCACACGCCTCTATTTTGCCTCCTGCATCCCTTTGCTTCGTTGCTGTGCTTTCGTTTTGCAGTTTGGCCGGTTGTGCTCTGCCCGTTCCCTGTGCACCTGTCTATCGCCTGCTTCCGCTGTGTCTGCGCTCTGTGGGGCGTCGCTTTCTGTGTCGTCACGTGAAACTAAGCAGAAGAGAAAGAAGGAGGGGGGAGCGCGTACATACGTGCGTTTTACGCTTTTGTCCAGGCAACTATGATGCGTAGGATCACATTGTTGCGCCTGCAACCACAGTGCGCCGTGTGCGTGCGCGGCATCGTGACGGGCGGACGGGTCACAAACGAGGATCGCCGCTGGTGGTTGATCCACCTAGAGTGTGCGCCAGATGTCACCCCTGGCACCTTTGTTGCGTGGCTTGATTGCTGCGGTACGCACACCACCAAGAAGTTGATTGAGCGCAACATCTGGACAATTGAGCAGGTGGCGCAGCTTGACTCCGACCAAGTGGATGAGTTGAAGTACAAGGAGGGGTGTTTGAAGATGGACGTCGTCTGGGAGCATGCCCGCACCATCCTCACCCCACTGCAGCAGCGGGAAGCGACGGGTGGCGTGGAGTCGGAGCTGCAGAGTCGCATCTTAGAACTTCGCAAGAAGCGCGAGCTTGAACGCAAGCGTGAGGAGCTGTTGAAGGAGCGGGCAAACATCAACGAACAGCGAGAAGCAACGCTGCGGAAGCTGCGCGAAGCAATCGCGGCAAAGAAGGCGGCCCTCCTCCAAAAGAAGCAGGAACTGGCGGGAGCCGACGCCAGCGACGGTCACAATAGCAGCAGTGAGGGCGGTAAGAGCAGCAGCGCGTCATGACCCTGAAGTGGAAGTGTGCTGGCGTGCCTTTTTTACTCCTCGACGAGTGCGCCTACGGTGGTGCTGGTCTGCGGAAGAGTAACTGGTGGAGTGGTGGTTGCAGGGTGGCGTGCGTTGCCTCCCGCTCGGGGGAGAGCAGCAGTACTCTCAGGCGGAAAGGTAACGCGGGGGTGGAGGTGGAGGCGGAACACCTTGCTGCTCCTGCTGCGATTGCTGTCTCCTTCTCTTACCATCACGGTTGATGCGACACGGAGGACTGCGGCGGCATGGGGGAGGGAGGCCAAGAGAGTGAGTAATGGTCTCTGCGGTGCGCCGAGAGCATCGGGTATGCCTCCAGAGATTTTGTTTTGTTTTGTTTCTTACTTTGTGGGATGGAAGGGAACACAAAGCTGTTCGTCTTGTTGTGTGTATGTGTTGCTTCCCTTCTTTATTTGTGGGTGTCGCTGCACCACCCCATCTCGCCTATTATTGTGTCCCTCCCTCGTGCGCACTGCCCCCGTCTCTTCTTACCTTCTCTGCTTCATGTGTGTTGCCGTGGCACGCAGATGTCTTCATGGGAGCTGCAGCTACTGGAGGTGCTTGAGCACCACTCACTCGGCCACCTGCTCGGGAGGTTCATGGACGCCGGCATGACGTGTGAGGGATTCCTGACGCTGCAGATTGACCAGTACCGCAACTACGGTGTCACCGACGACGAGGAGAAGATAAACCTGTACCAGGCGGTCCAGCACTTTCGTCGGGAGACGCACGGTGGGGTCAAACCGTGCGCCTCTGCGGACTCCCCGCGGATGATGCCCACGGCGTCGACTGGGCCGCCGACGATAGCGGACATAGATGAGCTCTTGGACGAAAAGGATGGCCGAGAACGGCTGTACACGGCCCGGGGCACGACTGTGTTGACAACCTCTGCCGATAGCCGCGAGATCAAGCGGCGCAAAAGCCGCATTGTTGTTGCGGTGCGAAAGCGTCCGCTGAACCTTGTGGAGGGGCAACGGGGCTACTCTGACGTGATCTCAACAAATAGCTTTGACGAACTCGTGCTTGCGGAGCCGCGGCAGAAGGTGGACCTCACGAAGTACACCCACATACACCGGTTTTTCTTTGACGAGGTATTTGGAGAGACGTCTACGAACGTTGACGTCTACCGTCGCACGGCCGCCGCGTTGATTGATACCGTCTTTGAGGGTGGCTGCGCCACGTGCTTTGCGTACGGGCAAACCGGCAGCGGGAAAACCCACACAATGCTGGGGAATGGAACGGAGCCTGGCATTTATGCCCTCGCCGCGGAGGAAATGTTTGCTCGCATTGATAGGGTCAAAGACATTTACGTGTCCTTCTACGAGATCTACAGTGGCCGGTTGTACGACCTGTTGAACGGGCGTCAGTCGTTGCGCTGCCTGGAGGACGGCAAGCAGAATGTAAACATCTGCGGGCTGACGGAGCACCTTCAGGCGGACGTGCGTAGCATCATGCGGCTCATTGAGGAGGGAAACAGCGTTCGCAGCAGCGGCACGACAGGCGCCAACGACACAAGTTCCCGCTCCCACGCCATTCTTGAGATCAAAGTCCGCGGACGCGAGGACAAGAAGCTGTTTGGCAAGTTTACTTTCATTGACCTCGCTGGGAGTGAGCGGGGCGCGGATACGCTTGACTGCGACCGCCAGACCCGCATTGAGGGGGCGCAAATCAACAAGAGCCTGCTGGCGCTGAAGGAGTGCATCCGTTCCCTTGACCTCAACCGCCGGCACGTCCCTTTCCGTGGCTCAAAGCTGACGGAAGTGCTTCGTGACTCGTTTGTAGGCAATTGTCGCACCGTCATGATCGGCACAGTGTCGCCGTCAAGCAACAGCTGCGAGCACACACTCAATACGTTGCGCTACGCGGACCGCGTCAAGGAGCTGAAGAAGAGCGTCGGGGAGCGGCGACCGCTCGGGGAGAATGAGCAGTGTGAGCTTCTCTTTGAACGGAAGCCGTCGACGTCTGCCACACGTGCATCTATCTTTGGTCGCCTCTCCGCACCACCGTTAGGTCTGTTGAACCTCCCCAACGCAACGCACGACAGCAACGGCGGCAAGAGCGGCGGCCACGGCTGTGCCAGGTCAACGGCAAAAAAAAGTGCGGGGGGTCGGCGCTCTGTAATGATGCGTCCGAGTGGTGTTTTGGCTGCCAAGACGGCAGAAGACACCCATGGCGAGATTGGCCACAAGCGCGGTCGCGAGGCTGAGGAACAGCAGAAGCAACAACAACTTCAGCAGCGGGCTGAGGAAGATGAGGAGGAAGCGGCGGCAGCAGCAGCAGCAGCAGCAGCAGAGGCACTGCCGGCGCGGAAGAGCGTTGACTTGGACCTTGGGGTCCGCTACGACAAGGTCGTGGACGAAATCGCCAGGCAGGAGCAGGTGTGTGTGCAGGCCCACCGCCGCTACCTCGATGAGGACATGCGAATCATTAAGGAGGAGTTCGCGCAGATCATGTCGGTAGAGACGCCAAACTCGAACATTGAGGCGTACGTCACGAAGGTGCTTGGCCTCCTCGGTGGCAAACTGCAGGCCATCCACCACTTTCAGGGGGAGATGCTGCGGCTGCGGGGCATGCTCGACGAGGAGGAGGCGCTCTCCCGCCACCTCGAGCAGAGCGGGCAGTAGAAGTGGAGAACAGACGAGACAGAAAGACAAGTATCAAATTTAATGAAAACAAAAAAGAGGAGGAGGTTGGGGGGCGACGAATATATATATATATATATTCTATATAAAGGAAGAAATAGAAGAGGAGAAAAAGGACTGAGCGGCCCGATTAGAAATGCGCCCACAGCAGACGCACCAATAGCCTACAAAGTCAGTCAATAAATTAGATGCTCTTTTTGTTGTTTAATTTTTTTTTTTTTACTAGATGTACCTGTGTCTCCTATTTGCCACGATTCTTGCCTTCATGTATTTTATTTCCCACTACGCCGGCCTTGGCAATTGAAAGAAGGGAAAAGCGGTGGGAAATATGGTTTTCGCATTATGCACGCAACTCAACCGCCCTTCCTATGGAGTTTATATATATATATATATATGCACTGCGAGCATTTTCTTTCCATTTTAGTGCTGCATTGCTTCTGGTGGATCTTCTCTTTTTATTTTCCGCTTTGTTGTTGTTGTGTTATTTCTTTGATTTCCACCTTGCACCGTAAATACGTATTCGTGTGTGCTGTTAGGATGCGGGGTGCCGTTCGCAGGAGGGCAAGAGAGAGAGAGAGATGTTTCGGCGCAATGCCTTCCGCCTGGATACCGGGCCCGCGATTACTGGTGGCCCCGTACATGCCTTACGCGGTGGCGTACGCAGCGCGATTCGGCCCTGCTTAGCGGAGAATGTGCTGAGCGAGACAGCGGAGGATAGCCGCCCTGGTAGGCATGGACCCTGGCAAGGGAAAGACTGCCTACAACCCCCCTTCCGCGTAACTGGGTTAAGGCGCCGCTTTAACGTCTCTCAACGACTGTGTCCCGCCGAGACTGGTTTCGGCTCATGCAGTTTAACATGATGACGGGTGCGTGGAGCCTGGGAGCAAAGGCGGAGGAGGTAGCCACGACACCCGCGCATGGTGTGCAGCCACGTGTGCCGGGCTTCACGAGAGCTGGGGCAGATCCGGATGGGTATTACCCGTATGACCCTTCTCTCGACACGGAGCTGCCGCCCTTTCTGCAACCAGACTTTCGAGGAGCCTACTTGGTAAACGAGATACGGTACTATAATCCAGACATTGTGTGTCTGCAGGAGGTGAACCGGGTGTTTTTTAATGACGCCCTCTGGAAGTATATCCGCCACTGCGGTTATGGCACACTGTACCAGTCGAGCCGGGGCTACAAGGTGGGAGCCCTGCGCCAAGGCGACGACCCACTGCTGCCGCGACGGAAGATATTGGAAACGTGGTGTTATTTCACAAGGGATGTTTTGTCCCTATTCTCATGCCTGGGAAGGATTTGGTGCAGCACCTGCAATTTGTTGCGATGCGGGACAAGATCACCAATATGACACTGAACGTCGCCTGTGTCCAGTACACCGCTGGGGAGTCGGAGGAGGCGGCTCAATCTTGCTTGCATGAGTCACACCAAACACTGCAAGTGCTTGATGCCCTGAACTGTAACGACGTTGACCGTGTGCACATGACGAACGTGATTTGTGGCGACTTCAATAACGTTCACGACGAGGATGCCTGCGTGCAGTTGATGCGGGAGCTTTTCTTCTTCACCCATAACATTGTGGGGGGCCCTCGCTGGGCGACGTGGTTAAATAAAGACACGCAGGCCTCCGCGAGGTACCAGAAGTACTACGCCTGCAACTGTGAGTGCTTCGAGAGCACCAACGCCGCAAGGCGGGCGCAGCGCGAGGTGGCCAAGTACGCGAGGAAGCCTAGTGACGGTAGAAGGACGGCGACGTCAGCCGACCACGCGGAAGTGGAGGAGGTGATGGAGAATACTATGGAGCATGCCGGAGCTCAGGCGGAGGAACGTGAGCTGAAGCCAGCGACAGAGAAAGAGAGGAAGAGGGAGAAGAGACGGGGGCGAGGCAGGAGCAGCGGCAGGACGCACTGGAAGTACGGAAACGAACCCTGAAGTTGCGGGGCGTCATTTATAGCACGCAGGACTTCGTCTTCTACGAGCCCCAGCCACTGGCACTCCATCGGGTGTTGGATGTCCCAGAGGACACACATATCAACGAGCAGCAGCTGCTGCCGTGCAGCAACCATCCCTCGCACCACATCCACCTCGCGGTGGATGTCTCTTTCACCGATGTGTATCCTGACGTTGCCATGAAATCTCTAAAGGACTAGTTGTCGCGAGAGGCAGTGCAAGTCAAGTACCACCACAAACCCGCACCTCACTGTATTACATTTCCTCTCCGTCTCCCTTTCTCTCTCTCTATCTCCATCTCTCGATGTGGACTATGTGTTTTATTGCCCTTGCTTCGTGTCACTCACTGCGATTTGCTTGCTTTCTTGTCTCTTGCCGCTGCGACCGGACAGAGGTAGCAAGGAATAGCAACAGCGGCTGGGGAGAGGCGGCAGTCAAGATTTGGTCTTTGGCAACAGGCAAGATGGAGATCCGCTGCCTACCCTCCGAGGAGCTGCGGTGGAACTTTCTGGAGGAAATCTACGCCAACTACGAGGAGGTAAACGCCCAACAGAAGGAAATAGCCAGGCGGAAGCGTGAGATGGGCTCGGAGATGCCGGATAGCAACCGGAAGAAAATTTATCGGGTGCTTTTTAGTGAAAACCCCTCCGACATCGCGCGTTTTGGTGACTGGGACACGTACGAGAAAATCCAACTGATGCTGAACAAGTTTGTGTACAGTCGCAACCACAACACGTCCAATGGTGACACGAAGGAGGCAGCCCTCAACGAGCGCATTGATATTCTGAGCGGCATACGTGCACAACAGGCGGAGCGCATTGCGTCGCTGGAGACAACCCTGGCATCCACACAGGAGGAATTGGCAGGGCTCATGGATATGCTTCGGATGAGGGATGGGGAGATCAGGAAAGTGAAGCGGATGTTTCTTATGAAGCAGCTGGAGCATTCCCAGCAGCAGCGGAATGGTGAGGCTGCGGATGGCGCCGCCATGGAGCAACGCAAGAGCGTCTATAACGACATGAACGCACTTATTGAGGTTAATAAGGTCATCGAGCGGGAGAACGCGCGACTACGCGCTGCGTTGGAGGCAAAGGAATTTTTGGGTTGTGCCACCTCCAGGACCTTCACGGCAGCAAGCGGGCAACAGCCAGAGCGAGTGGATGGCAGGCGGCGGAGTGAGAACACGGCCAGCTCCTCTGCCAATGTTCACTGGCGAAAGGCCCCTCATGCTGGAGGTGAAGCCGATTCACCGGCCCAAGTCAATCCGCAAAATCCGGAGACAGAGGTGGTCGCCCCTACGGCCCCGCCGCCCTCTACGGGAGGTGGCCCTTGCGTCGGCGGTGGGGTGGGGACATGCGTCTTGAGTACCTCCCAAAGGGGCGGCACCCAAAAGGTGGGCGGTGTGGTAACGACGGGGCCTGAGTCGTCGTGTACGAAGAAGAGAAAAGCAACTGAGGTGATGGACGCGGATGATTTTGAGGGACACGATTTTATGAAGGTAACTGCTGGCGCCCAGCGCCGCCATGAAACATCACCCCTCTCTGCGAGCAGCACCATAAACTTTGGCAAGAGTACCACAAACATGGAACAGCTTAGCGAAGTTGAGGCGAGAAGAAGATACATTCAGCGGCAGGCGCCGATGACTAGCGTGCTTATGCGGCTTCACAAGGAGCGGATGATGTGGCAGCGCCTGCTGGAAGCCGAAGCGGCCAACACCATGGCATTTCTTGACCACGATGCTTACTTGCCGTGCGCTGCCCATTTCGATCCAAGGAAAGACCCTGCTGGTTTAAGCGCGGCAAGTTTGACGGGACTTCGGAGCCAGGCTTCGAGACCGTTTGGGAGCACCATTCATCTTCGCCTCTCTGACGAAAGCATTAAAAGCTACAGACGAGGGCCGGCGCAGAGTTTGAGCCAAAAGTACACGGCCGTCGCGGAGGCCAGATCACCCCCGCAGAGCCCAGGCAACGTGAGCACAGCGAGTTCGGGATATCGCACCTCGCAGAAGAGTGCAGGCGGTGAGGGCATGATGAGCTCAGGAGAAAGCTGCTCTTCCCTGCCAACCGCGAGGGGGCAGAAGAAGGCGAGGATAACAAGATGCCTCGCGCGGCGCGAGCCTGAGGAGCGGGAAGCGCAACAGGAGCAAAGGGAGTTGCGCAATGCAGTTGCGCGCCCCTCGCGACCATACGCTCAGGCATCTGTAAGCAGTCGGCCACAGTCCTGCGGAGGCGGTGCGGGACGACGCCGCTCAACGGTGGGGCGCGGGTCGCTGAGGCAAGAACCAAAAACGGAGGACGCGACCGCCACCCCTTGGCGAGCTTCTTCTGGCGACGCCGAGGCGAAGGCTGTGGAGGAGCCCCGCAGAGGTTCGACTTTTGGAGCGGCTTCAACCACGACAGTCGGCCGCCACGAGGGCCAAGAGCAGCACGATGTACCAAAGGAGGAAGGGCCTTTGGGTTGCGAAGGGGCGGCGGGGCACCACAAGGCCCTGCACACGCTAAAGCTTGAGATGGGGGCAGTGCGGGATAAACATCAACGCCTGCGTGTGGAAATGGATGAATTTTTTCTCGCGTTCAACCAATATCTTCAGATGTTACGAGATCGTAGCGAACAGCTGGAGCACGGCGTCGAGGCCGAACGCGCAGCCGTCGTGTCTGGGATGGCGGAAGAAGTCGTAGGGGACATGGTGGAGCAGAGGGTTTTTGAGCGACTCGAACAGCACGGCATCGTCCTCCAGCGGCATCCGGGACCCGCGTCTGCTTTGACGGACGAGGAATGGGCGCACAATCAGTTCTACGATGCCATCTGCAATGCGGCAAGGGGGCGTGTCGCTGGGGAGTTGGTAAAGGCAAAGGGCGGGCGCAAGAAGAAGCGGGAGGACCAACAAGGGACACGACACCCATGGCCACCAAGTCACCCGCCGCTTTCGGGCCCCATCCCGCCGTGCAAAGTTACAACGCCAGCCAAGGACGCCAGCCCCTCCGCAGGGAAGACGGCAAGCGGTTGGTTGCCAAGACCGCACTCCGGGAACGACCTCGCGCCTGGAGAACCCAATGGCGAAGCTTGGCCCTCGGTGGCGCCGCAGCGCCCTCCAGGCGCAGGCCCAGAGGAGGAGGGTGAAACGGCGACGGCGGGGGGGCCAACGAGCGGCGGCCACAAGCATCCTGCGGTTCAGCTCGGGGAATGCTTGAATCGCTTGGCGGCGCCAAGTGGAAGCACCCGGGGCGAATACGAAAGAGCTCCGGGGGCCGGTCCCGTGTTGCCGCTTTCCGCGGCATTCCCGCACAGGAAAGAAGAGCAGGCGCAAATCACACCGCGACACGCTTTCCCATTGCCGCCCAATGTTGGCTTTTTTTCAAGCCCCCTTGGCCAAGCCGGCCTGATCGGGCACGCCGATTGGGGCCACAACGCCGCCCCGCCACCGAAGCGGTTTGAAGGAAATGTTTTGGCGTACCTGCGGAGCCTCCAACCACGCAGGCCCGCAGGAGACGTTGAGGACATGGCGCCCGCGGTGCGCCGGTATGACTTTCAAGCCGCTCTCGCGGAGATGAGGGCGGAGTTTCGAGGCACCGTCCGCGCCGCGGCCGCTCAGCTCCGAAAACCATTCTTTGAAAACGCCTTCAAGAACCAGATATTGCCTTACGCAGCGGCCGCTAAATCTCTGCAAAATGGCCAACGGATGCCGCCCTGGATGTTGGCGGCGGTTCGGCAGCTGAGAGTGGAAGAGGAACGGAGAAATCGAGAAATGAGACGGCACCTCTTTGCGCGGGTTGCGACAAATTTGCGTGCGAGACGACTACTGAATAGCAATGTTTGTAGAGGATTGGCGATGGCCGCCTACGTGGTTGTGCTTTGGGAAAAGTGGCTGGAACGCTGGCGAATGAAAAGCGCGGTTCAGCGGATAGAAAAGGCGGCTGATATAAACCGCATGTTGGATCTGCTCGCCGCCAACCTGCGAGGCCGACCCCGGCAACGACCAGAAGGGGTAGGGAATCTGCCGGATGCGAAAACGGCGCTCCTTGACCCAAGCAGCTCGCACTTTAGTGAGGTTCGGTTTCCCCCCAGGTCGGCATGAACCAAAACATAAACAGAACGTGCGCCTCTATACCTCCACGCCCGCGGGCGGATTCGCCGCCACCGCACGCTCTTCGCCGGCGGTGGGCCCAACAATTCCAACAAAAACCGAACAAACTATGTAAAAGACTTCTTTTAATGATCATTTGTATGATTCTACTATGCCGTGGGCATTACTATTGTTTTCTTGTTTCTGGTGTTTTGGCGTTTTTGGGAGGGGATAAATTTGGCTGCAAAAAATTACGTGTGCGTGCGCACTCTTCTGTTGTTGTTTTGTGTTTGATTTCCCCCCCGCGCCCGGCATCATCTGAACAAAGTTTCACCCCCCAAACCCGCAAACTATGAGGCGACCCAGGCGCTATGGCGACCGTTCGCGCCAACGACCGCGACCGCCGGCGCATTGTCACTAAGGTCCTGTCTCGGCAGGGCGAGGTTCGTCGAAAAGACCCTCCTGCCGAGCAGAAAGTGCTCCGCCGCAACGCGCAACCAGGCTGGCGCGGGAAACAAAGAGGGGTTGCGGCCGCCCCGCGTCCATTTTGTGCCTGCCCGGGTCCGGCAACAACGCCGACCGCCTCCCGAACGAGCACGGAGACGGCAAAGACGCCCCAAACGTTCGCGCCAAACCGAAGCGCCGCAAAGAAATTGAGATACAACAAAAGCCCTTGCTTACGGCAAATTGGGTCACAAAAAGCACACAAACCCCGATTACCCCCGCACACCCCCCCCC